TTATAGAACTGTGGGCTTTTCAACAAATGATAGATTTCCATTGCCTCTAAATTTTGAGTCACTTTCAGCTAGAAGTAATAAAAGATATGTTTGTAGTATTTAAAGAGACAAAACATACACTATCCATGATGTATCTAGACTCGATGTTGTTTTCACATGGTGAGATCCTCAAGTACTGAATCTTCCCAACGTTTCCTCGCTCAATCTGAAATATTTTTGGTGGTTTATCAAAATAGCACTAATAAATGACATTACTGATAAAATATTGGCTAGGAAATCATTAAATGATACATGCATTCAATCTCACATTACCTCCGAAAAATATAGGAAGGTGGTCAGTTTATAGAAGGGGGCAGTGGTATTAAGGAAAGCTACGTCGTACTAGTTTCTGCTGGAATAGAAGTCGGTGGCGGTACAAGCGTGAGTAACTTTGATTAGAAACTGGCTGTTTTTACTAAACTGTCCCTCTTTTTATTTATAATAATCACCCTTTATCCCCTGAATTTTATTTTCTTGTGTGGCGCATATTTAGTTGTACTTTTACTATGCGCTTTCAATCAAACTCCCGTAAGCACTCATGAAGACATTGCACCTGTGACAAAGTGGCTGTCTAATAGTATCGCATGTTTTGTTCATCTTTGGTTTTCAACGGATGTCTATTTATAATTTTGTGCTTTTTAGTTATTAACCAGATATAGAGGTTTAGTATATTTTACACCGTATGACCAGAGCAAGAACTGCAGCTTTCATGTTTTCCTGTTGGTATTCATAATCAATAAGTACATGGTGATAAAATTATCCTCCTTTTAACAACATAAACTAGAATAGAACGCTACCCATATATGCATGTATTATGATTAGTTATTAATCTTTATGACTTTAGGCATGGAAATTTCACTATCGAAGTAGTTACTGCTACAGAATTAGCACAAGTATTTATACTAGTCATAACCAGTTGTCGCTTGTAGTTTGGTGCTTCATGGCTCAAACGAAATAAGGAATTAGGTATGGTGTAATTAGTCTTTCTGAATGAGTCTATTTGTTTTACTGCATGTTAAAGGACGGAAATAGAGTCAATCCACAAATCTTGAACGCTTGATGTTTAGATAATGGGTAGGATTTCCGAATTATATTGTGTTATTCATTGTAAATCTAGCCAGTTCTTGGCTGATGACATTGAATATATTATACTAAGCACATCTCTTTGTGATTAGTTCAAATTATGAGCATTATATTTAAGGTATTAGAAAATAATACAGACGAAACTGCTTCGTAGTACGCACTCCTGTTAATAGGTGGAGGGATATATTGAATTCATAATAGATGGCTCAAAATGAGCAAAGCTTTTCCAAGGTTACTAAAATCTCATTAGTCATTAACCCGAAAGAATTAGTTCTTAGGATTGCATCGTTTCATTTAGTAAAACTAGTTGCTGATGAAGAATAGTAAGTTAGCCTTTTGCACGTTGAGGGAGAGAAGCCCATCGCATATTTTTGACTTCTCTCTCGGAGTTTAATGGATCTCGACTTTTTTTAGCTTCAAATAAAACTTGAGTCAGTTCGGGAGTCATTAAGCGGAAGACTAAGGTAAAATAGCAACATACAACCATGTAATATTGATGACTAAAGTCACTATGATCTGCAGATCCATATTTCAGTCCGAAAGTTAGTAAAATTCATGTCAATTGAGTTGTAAGAAATGGGAAGTTCTAACAAGGATCTGGGCAGCTGGACTGTGAATATATTATTCCGAACTATGGCCAGTGTGTTCACCAGATAAGACTAGGATCTTATCACTGTCGCATAGATTTCTCTGCTGGTTTGCCTATTCATCTTTACGTACGGACGTTCGCAGCATTTTAATACACTATATTGGGTTTTCAAGCTAACATCGACATATTTGAGCACGATATCAACTGTTGAAATTAACAGCTGTTTTGATGTGTAGTAGTGAAGTCTGGCAGAAAAGTACGTTGATTACTAAACATAGAATAGAATTTCCACCGAGATATGTCAAGACAATCGATGGGAACAGTCTACTGATGTAAAGTCCTTTTTAAAAGAATACTTTTTTAATATCTAATAAACAGCCCAAACCTTTCCGATAGATGATTGTAAATCAGCAAGATTTTCAGTGAACTTGAACTTTGCAGACCATTTATTTTGGGATCCAATAACATCCAAATAAAATTCCTTGGGATCATTTAAGTGAATCAGTGGAGGTCTTATTTCTAAAGTATACTGAACATTGGCTGACTGATTTCCAGGTTTGGCTTTTAAACGAATCTCCTTACGGGCTGTCACTAGAGTGAAATCAATGATACAATCAAGTGTTATCTTATTCAAACGATGTTTGTTACTCGAAACAGTTCTTATCAGTACTAAGGAAAATAACCACATCATAAGAGCGAGAGGATTATCAAAAAATGAAGTCATGTAATATCACATACATAGTATATTAGGCTGGTTTCGTATTTAATGAAATAGTGTTCCTTTGGTAAGATATCACGTAACTAGTCCACATAAAAACTGGCTTTGCAAAGTATGGCGTAACTATATTTCGGAATTATCACTAGAATAAGTAATAAATATTCGCACGACGTTTGAGAACAGTAATTTATTCTTATCATCCGAAAAGTAATTGTGGATTAACGGGTTACATCTACCGACTTACTCTGTGATGTTCTGACATAGCGAAAGACAAATGAACATCTTGAGCTCGCACTTATCTTTGATAACGCTATTTAAGAAGCAGTTCGAGTGTATATATAACGGCTTTAACGGTGGGGTTGGTGCGCAGATATAATCAGTTCATATATAGCAAAAACCATCGCATAGTGATTACTAAGAAATTTGTCGAATAATAACAATAATCATTTACTAGATTTATAAATAGGTGTAACAGTAGAAACTGAGGCGAGGTGATAAGCCGTGTACATCGCTTTTTGCTTAAAAAGAGACTAGGGGACAAATTTATCAGTAAACAGCAGATCTTTGCACAAAATAGCTGAAGTCTTAACTTCATAGCGATCGTAATGTGTATCTACCAAATAGTCGATCTCGAAGTGATTTATTGTAGAGGGGCTCATAAATATGACTTCTATCTGAAGATGAGGAAGTTTCTGAAAGAGTATTAATTCAAATTTATTCAGAATATTGAATTCTATAACTTGTCGAGGAAAAACTTAGCACACGAATTAAAAAACTCATAAATCCGACGGGGTATAAATTATATTATGTCTGGTAATAAATTTGTCTTCATACTATCTAAATATCAGTTGCAGTAATCTAAACTAAACCGAAGATATTATTGTATAATCCAGGACAGCAACAATATCCTGTTAATCGAACAGTGGGGAAATGCTTAATCATAGAAACGAAGATGGATGAATATGGAGATTTATGGTTTAAATGAACTTTCACGTAATGAACAGAACTTTTGATGATTAGGAGCAAGTGGGCTTTCTTATTACAATAACTATATGCTGATTGACATAACAGTAATAAAATCTATGATAACTAAAAAATAGTATGCATCTGACTGATTACCTTCAGGTTTATGTTTGATAAAACATCTCTTCAAAAATATTCTCTCTAATTCCATTGTCGAGTAAAATATTAAGATGTGATGTGGTTCACAATTACGAACTGATTAAGGTCATTTGATAGAACCAATCACAGCTATCATACTTAAACTGAAATAATTAAAATTTTGTTTTATAAGGGCAATTAACTTTTCGATTTGTTTAAAAAAGTGGATCTACACTTCGTTGGGTGATAAAAATGACACACAGATAGAAGGTTGATGCTAGAGATAAAACTGATACATTCTCAAATATATGAGACTATATATGTCTAAAGTAGGTATGAAATAGATAATTATGTGTCTAACTTGGGAATACAGTTTTCGAGTCTGCAGAAAATGTCAACTTACTTAAAGAAAGACAACGATCAACAAGGTTATTTAAAATTTTGATCATTTAAGTGACAATGATCGGTGAAGCTATAAGACGGAATTGGCCTTGATTGTTAAGTATCTTGTTAATTTACATAGTAGTGGAATCAATCTATAGTTGATATAGTCAGTCACCCTAAACAGCGAGTGTCCGTGATCATTCTAGAATACTTTAAACTATAACTATGCAAAATAGAGAAGAAAAATTTATGGTGAAGGAGATACACTTACAAAATACTTAGTTGGATTCCACTTTTAATAATGTTATTAAACTTACCGGAGAACAAGTTTTCTAAATCTAGCGTGTTACTTTTAACCAATTCATTTCAGCAATTAGTCTAACTGATATTATGTTTATATTGGGTAACTATGTTTTTAAGACCAAAACTACCTTATGAATGAACAAGATTGTTTTTACTAACTTATCATTAGATGGAGAACTATAAATTAATTATCGAACATATTCAGTACTTTTGCGACTAGCTTTAAAAACATCATAGTCACTTGTCTAAAACCTAATAATCCACTTAACTGAACGCCTTCAACTCGGCGCGATCATCATTCAATATCAAGGGTGAGCAATTGACCTCCTTTGAGATTAAGTTAATCTATCTACTTACCTCTATTCCCGTATGGAGTAATCAAGATTACTATACCAAATTATCTACTCATATTCAACTGAAAATCGAACAAAGCTAAAGCTAGAGAAATATCTATATAAAAATATATATATGCAATACATTTTATTACATACTTGCGACTTTGTACACATACAGTGACAGAAACACACATAAGTTACTCATACTCTATCATGATTTCTGTTAATGGAGACGATAAAAATTTTGTTGAATTAATTATCCTAATACCTTAAACTATACATATTCAACGTAAAATTGAACTTTATCAAGAAGTAAACAAGGATGTTTTACTAAAATTAAATATACAAATGAATATACATGAGTAGGTGGTGTTTCAACGTAGTAACAGTAATATACAAACAATAAAGGAATAATCTATTTTTGAAAAACCTAAGCATTCAGATAGATTTATAAGAATGGCATCCATCCTTTATACATTTGACAGAGTCGATCAACATCGGTAGCTTCTTTAATTAAAGTATCCACCTACAAGGTAAAATAAGTATATTAAAATTCAAAAACTATATATATTGAAAGAAGACTAGGTAGTGTCCAAATCAAAGTAAATTATTGGTTCTAGAAGCTAGTGATTGTTAGGAAGACTACGTCAGGAAATGAAGCCTTCCTGATAAGTGGTTGCATAGACAACTTAAGATACCTAAAGAATTTAATGATTCATGAGTGCTTCAGCTACCAATTTAGTTTTAAATATAAATTCAGTGAGGTATGAGAGGTAATACGGGATCATTATTAACACAAAGAACAGAAATATCGGGAGACATTCCAGAAGATTTTGTTAACATTACTACCTAAATAGGAGACAAAAAGAAGGTATATAACGATTGTGTCTGAGATCTTGAGCAATACCTGACAACGCATTAAAGAAATAAGTCATAAATTGTTCATGACCTTAGTCAACGGGATAAAAGAAGTACTACTTTCAACAATGTATCATTAAAGATAACCAGTCAGCTTTCCTAAAGCAATATGCACAGTGTTGGTGCTCATTAGACGAATCTATAAACAAGAATAACCGGATGAAAGAGTGAGTTTGTGCATTAATACGTCATCACACGATAAAACGATGTAATGGATATACTTATGATTAAGAAGTCTATTTGAATTATATATATAAAATACTATCACGGATTAATTATTAGAGCTGTTGAAATAATTCAATCAACAACAGCATAAAATGAAGATTATGAAGTTGGAAAATCCACAGTAACTTATGATATCATAAATCATTGATTAAACCCGTGTTTCAATAAAAAATTCTAGAATGACAACAAACATCTAGACTTGAAAATATCGTTTAGTAGACACGTCAATAACCCTAAATTTTAGTCTTTGTGCTTGTTATCGTCCACGATTGAGATATATATGAGCCTTATATGAAGCATGTGCCTCCTTGATTTTAAAGAAAGATATGAATGTGAATACCGAAAAACTCAGCAAAATGTTGGGGTCTTCATATTAATTGCCAACAACTATTTAATGATGGGTAGAATTCACAGTGAAAATCAGTGAATAAGCTATCCAACTTGGACACTTTGTTTAGGTATAGGCGTTGAGCATAAAAACAATACACTCGGACAATATCACATAGTGACTGGATTTGTAAAAATGAAATACTCTAATTTTTATAACACATGTACTCAGAAGCATCTAAGCTATAAATAGTCAAAAATAATCAAATATAAATAAAAGAGAGCTATATCCCTTATGATAAATTTAACTGTGAAGATGTATTCATAAGATAATTCATTTTATGTGCACAAAACCCTTTCTAATCAAATGGATCAAAAGTATAGTTCATTTAGTTTGTAAACTTACTTGTCCTTCAACAGACATAGGTAAAATCTGGCTGAATCCATCATGTTCTGTAATTTTACCCTTAAGACGATCTTCCATACGTGCTAATTTTTCTGTAGCTGCCCTGGTTGCACGTTCTGTCAAGTCCAAGTCGGATGATGCGTTTCCATCTGATGTAGAACCACCGCGGCGAGTTCGTCCAGCTATAAAAAGAATTGTAAACATAACAGTTATTTTTACCTATATGGTTTTGTCAAAATTTTGTCATTTCTGAGTCTTTTTTAGCAATCAGTTATTCAAAACTAGGTAGCACTGGATAAAGGTCTTGTTCCAGTTAACGATTCTTCAGTTGAGTAGGATCATGATCACAAACAGTATATACTTTTAAAATTCCATTTAATCTTCGGTTCACAGTCGTCATAAAATGATTTCTCGTATTGTGTTAGGCCTTTGTGGAAATAATTTCATTGGAGCGGCACTGTGTGTATTAATAAAACTACAAACTAAAAAGTCAAAACATGTTTTATACTTTGGTACGTTCGAATAGATTACTTTATCACCTAAAACCGTAGAAAGGAACGAAAATCAGCAGCACAACAACAGGACAAGCTAAACTATTCCACTGCGCTCCACCCCTGCTAACTAGAGGGAGAAAACCAGATTCATTTGATGGAAATATATATTCCATAAGCAGTCTGAAGCATGAACGAATAAGCACAAAACTCAGGCGCATGAATACAGTACAAAAATGTCCTAAAAGAGGGAACGAATCTGTTATAACGCTCGGTTTTACTTCGTCTAGCGTTATAACGGTTGGGTTTCTACGTTTACACGTATGAGACGTTAATTTACCTTAAACAAATATCTACACTAGATTCCCTCTCAGTGTCTGTTCTACAGGACGTCAACACAACTCAGATCAAGAACACGTGATTAGCCTGACAACAACGTAAATATATTTCCACGCCCAAAACCCCGACGCAATCCAACAACAATAAGTGAGTAATAATAATAAGGATAGGGGAATATATAACTCAACTGACACCTATCAGACTATCTACATGTCTGACTAAGCAGACAACCAATCATTATCATTCTCGCCCACACATCAGAATCAATGACATTTAAGGTCCTTTCCAAGCGGGGAATACAAACTGAGAGTAAAAGTGGGCGCTTTTGGTACAAAAAAGAGGAAATTCCAAAATAAAATTACAAAAATGAGACGTTTACCAAGTGATTTGAGGGGAATCAAGCATTCCCAACAGACTTACTACTTTCACCACCAGGCAATACATTACTTCGTACGTTTCCAGTTTGTTCAACAACAGCATCAAAATAAATTGGACGGAACACTGCCAAAAGTGGATCGATTTCGTGACGTAGTAAACGCATAACTGCTTCTGAACAACGTCTGAATGTACCTTCATAACCTGTTGGACCCATAGCATGAACCATATTGCGAGTTAAACGGAATGGAACACGTTCAGGCCAAGGTAAAGTAAGACCATTATTGAATACACACGAAAAATCAACATGAACAAGATCACCAGATATAGAGTCGAACAATATATTCTCTGTATGTCTATCACCAAGACCGAGAACATAACCAACCATGCTCATAACTGCACAAGTACGTGCATAACATTCCCGTCCTGAATACCTTAGGTGAAAATAAACCCAATAATAATCGGTTATAAAAAAGTAACGCATGGGTATGGTAATAGGCAATCATTTCTATTAATCCTAGAACTTGCTAACAATATGTTCTCATCACTTATGCCCCCAAATGCCCTGGTGTGGCCGAGAAAGTGATGAGCCCGCCCTCCCTCTCGAAATACTCTCACACGGCTACGCGTATACAGTCTCTGCCAGGGAAGTCCTACTCACTGTCTTCTCGTGGCGGGGGTGTTGTTTACGAAAATGTCCGGTGCTTTAACCGGATTCCAAACCAATGGTGCACATGGGCTCCAGTATCCTGAGGGAACAAATGGCGTATGAACCAATCGCTGGTCACCGGTTACCATGGGACTGCATCTCCTCACGATGCTCCACTGCCTTGTGGGTTAGACCTTCAGGTCAAAGGCTCAGTGTGGCCCCCTAAGAAAACCACCTACTTCGGTCTGGGCACCCGGGCAGTATCACAGCCCACACACAAATAAAATGAAAATGACGATATTTACTAAAAATTATATTCTCGCTTCGATTTACAAACAATTCACATCCCCTCTTCTTCTTATTATTTACTGCGTCATTTATTCACTCTCTTTTATTCCCACTCTGTGTATCCTTATTTTTCGACTTATACAGCAGCTCGCCTATGGTGGAAACTCGGTTCTATCTAAACGTTTCGAGTCATTGCCTGGTTGAAAATTGTATGCTACAACCAAATACGAATACTGAAGCAGTTTTCCTGAAACCAAGTGCACCATTCAAACTGACTGTCTTCAGCGTTCGCACACTTATGCAGGTCGGACAACAGATAGGGCTGGCTATGTCTTTGTAACTTCCTAATATCGATGTTTGTTGTCTATCCGAGACATGTATTCAAGACTCTGGTGAAGTACTACAAATTCGCTCTCCATCTGTCGCTTCAAAAAGCTTGTTTTACGTGCGCTTATCCGGGGACCCTGTGGCATCTCCGTCTCGTCTTGCTAGCGTTGGTGTCGCACTAAGCGTTAGAGCTGAGGCAGCACTAATCGATTGGATCCCCATTAACAGTCGGTTATGTGCTGTTAGATTAGAAAGTTCCATCAAAGTGAGAAGAAATCGGCGTGAGAAATGATATCTTTTCGTCATCTCCACCTACGCCCCGACAGATTGCAGCCCGGATGCAATCAAGGATGAATTCTACCACCAGTTAACTGTTCTTCTCCAGAAAGTGCGTTCGACAGATATTGTAGTACTAGCTGGAGACTTGAATGCTCAGGTCGGGCGTCTAGGCACAGAAACGAATGGCTTAGGTGGCCGATGGGGACTCGTTGGTCACAGGACAGATAACGGGGACCGTCTACTGCAACTGTACACAGACCACAATCTGTTTCTGACCAGCACTAACTTTCGGCACAGTCATCGCCGATGTGCCACCTGGCGTCCTCCCTCTGCATCTCAAGCCTGGACTCAGATTGATCACGTCGCGATCAGCTACCGCTGGCGTGGTTGTGTACAAGACTGCCGCTCCTTTTGGAGTACCTATTTGAATTCTGATCATGCCTTGGTCTGCGCTAATCTTACCTTACTTTTCAGTGGACAACGAAGTGACCGCCACCAAAGGATTGATGTTAGCAAGCTGGTTGCAACTTCTGTTGCTAGTAAGTATCGAACTGAGCTAGGCTGCTAGGCTAGCTACCATTCCACCGAAAAGTATAGATGAGCATTGGTTGCAACTGCACGACGACATCAAAATGGTGAAGACTGATCCACCAAATGAGGAGGAAGTCCGCAAGGAACTCCAACCCTTGAAGCGCTACAAATCACCTGATCCAGATGACTTACCTCCGGTTCTTTTTAAAGATGGTGGTGACTTTCTGACTAAGGAATTGACGACGTTGTTTACAAAGGTTTGGAAACTAGAGAGTGTACCAACGTCATGGAATGAGTCGATAGTTGTCCCTATCTTTAAAAAGGGTTCACGTCGTTCCTGTAACAACTATCGGGGGATAAGTCTACTTCCGATTGCGTCCAAGCTATTGGCTTCCGTCATATTTCGTAGGTTGTTCAAAACCCGAGAAAGATTGACTCGCGAGGAGCAGGCTGGGTTTCGTTCTGGTCGAGGATGTATTGATCATATCTTCACCCTCCGCCAAATGTTAGAACACCGCCATACTTATCAAAGGCCAACAATCGTAGTGTTTCTTGACATCAGGGCTGCCTTCGATTCGTTGGATAGGACTGTTCTCTGGGATTGTCTATTGAAGAAGGGTGTGCCTGAGAAGTTTATTAACATCCTAAAAGCCCTATATAAAACACCTCAGGCAGAGTGAGGGCATACAACCACCTCTCTCCATTGTTCCATTCGAGCAGTGGGGTTAGGCAGGGTTGCCCAATCTCACCATTCCTCTTCAACTTTGCCATCGATGACATTCTGGAAACAGCTCTGATGAATGTAAGTAATGGTGGTGTGGATCTGTTGCCTGGAGAAAGACTTCTCGACCTTGAGTATGCGGACGATATTGTCTTACTGTGCGATAATGCCCAAGGCATGCAATCCGCACTTAATCAGTTGGCAATCAGTGTCCGTAGGTATGGTATGTGCTTTGCACCTTCGAAGTGCAAAGTACTTCTACAAGACTGGCAGGATTCCAATCCTGTACTCACCCTGGATGGTGAGCAGATAGAAGTAGTCGAGAAGTTCGTGTATCTGGGTAGCTGCATAAGTGCTGGTGGTGGTGTGAGTGATGAGATCAATGCACGAATAGTGAAAGCCAGAGCGGCTTATGCCAATCTGGGCCACCTTTGGCGCCTTCGTGATGTTAGTCTGGCTGTAAAAGGTCGGATCTACAACGCGTCGGTGAGAGCAGTTTTGCTCTATGCTTGTGAAACCTGGCCTCTCCGAGTTGAGGACGTTAGATGACTCTCTGTGTTCGATCATCGCTGTCTCCGAAGGATTGCTGACATCCAGTGGCAACACCATGTTAGTAATGCAGAGGTTCATCATTATGTGATCGGGCGCATAGACGATAATCCAATTGGTGTCACCATCTTGAAATATCGACTTCGGTGGCTTGGACATGTTCTACGAATGTCGTCCCAGAGAATTCCATGTCGTGCATTTTTTGCCAACGCTGGGGCTGGTTGGAAAAGTGGAGAGGTGGTCAGTGCATGACGTGGTGTCGTGGTATGAAAGAAAGCTGCAAAGGACTGGCTTGTGTCGGTCCTTCATGACTCCCTGGCTGGAGTCTGAGAGATGATGCAACACAGTGGCTAGAGACGTTATCAGATATGACTCAGAATAGAAGCCAGTGGCGATCCTGCTGTAACCTTCTTTTATTTTCTTCATAAAAAATGGTTGTATCTTCCTTAACTGAAAGATTTCTTTTGATTGTGCCTTTCCGTTTCCCCATTATTATTATTATTGTTATTATTATTATTATTATTATTATTATTATTATTATTATTACACTACCTTACACTAATCTGTTCGTTATTATTCTTTTTTTTACGCTCCTTACTTTTTTTCTCTTCCCATTCTGATTGTTTTGTGTGGCGCATATATATTTGGTGCCCTCTTGTACCAATATTTATGTATTCAAATAATAATAAACAAATAAACTTGTTATCGGGCTTTATTCAAGCATTTTTAAATTATAGCTCATGACGAAATGACATATCGATTATTGTTATCACTAAAGCTAAAACTAATTTGAAACATCCACATTACCACATATGCCTACGAAACCAACCCTACAATTATCCAAGGATTAGCATCAAAATTCATTTGTCACGTCATAACCTCTTGTCAGCTTAAGAATGACTGACACTGGCATCAAGAGTGACAAAACACAGCTATTTTTGGAAATTAGATTAGAAATAAAAGAACAAAAGCTATTCATTTAAATAACCACAAGTAAACATCTAAAATACTGGATTTCGAGACTGTTATTTAACGTTGTACACTGAATGTTCATTATTCATCAAAAACAACCAAGAATAAATTGTACAATAAATTTGAAATGAATAGTAGAATTTAATTAGTTGGCATATACTATATGTAGGTCACCAGTCTACAGAGTAATATATAAACTATTCCTTAAAATGAGTAACACTAACCAGGAACTTGGATTGCTAAACGTGCTTAGAAACCAATTATAGAAGACAAGTGGGAACATAGGTAACCATTTGTTCAAGTATTTATCACGTTTCACTCTGAAAATTACGAAAAATGGTTTTTATTATAACAATATGAAATAAACAGGTACATCTTAAACAAGAATATCTACTCATTTCAATTAATGTTTGCACCTTTAAACACTACATAGCAATAGTTACAACTGGCAAAAGGAACCAAACATTAAAAAAACTTTGTAACTAGTGTGTACAAAGCCCTAATCAATCACGTGAATGACCATCAACTGACTCATTTTGGACAGATATGTAATTCCCAGTTTTCCTCATAAAATGAATATCTGTAGGGGACACTGGAAAATTGTTTTATCATTAACTAGATGAAAGTGAAATGTGTCTAGTAACATGTGAGCTCAAATCAAGATTGTCTGGAGTGGAAACTTGAAGTATTAAGCGTATTTATTATTTGAGAATAACAAATGATACAGTTATTATATGCATCAGATTTTTCAGTGATTATTTAATTTGCACAGGTTCGTGGCGAATAGCATTTTGTGGATTATTTCGGTTATGTATTTATATAAATACATACTATAAAACACTACACCAAGCTTATGACTGCATAAAAACTTACGATAAAGGATCTTCAAGCAAAGGTGCTACACGGCTCATATTAGCCCAATTGATAGGTTTACCAATTCATTATACAGACGTGTGATGATAGATCGAAATGGCTGTGTATTACGAACCCATTCAATTAATCCACCTTTTTCACTTAAAGGAATTACCGCCTGAAATTAGGGAAGTACAGATCCAAGAAAAAAGATTCATTAAAGCAAGCAACTAAGATTACGCATATTTTTATTTTCAGAATCACTCAAATAAATCGAACATCACTTAAACATACAGTGTAAGATAATTTTAATGAGCAAAACAATATTATGAAAATTATATTTATGTTTTAAAGTCGAAAGTATTGGTGATCTTTGACATAGTTTAAGTTCAATACAATATCAACAATAGAAAATACAAGTGCAGTAATATGTATTGCATGCCATGAACCTCGAATCAAATTTTCATGCAAACTGATAACATAAATATTCAGGACAGTTTACTTACGGATTATATAGTATAGGACTCTTAAAGAGGACAAAATTATTCAAGACAGTCTATTAGTAATAGGTAGTTTTAAGTTATAATCATTCTAAATACTACGGCAAAAAAACGAAAGTGTATTTACTTTGTAATGTAGTTAGTAGATTAGAGGTGAATAATAAAGAAACGGAGTTAATCAATCCTCTCTTTTGTCGAAATAGTACCCAACAACTAGATGTTTTAAAAAACGACTTATTTATTAACAAATCTTGTAAAAAAAAGCAACAAATTGTTCGTCTAAAATAAAATAAAGAAGTTTATTTACCACTTTTGAAAATTTTGTGATTTGCTAAAAAATTATACATAGATTAAAAAACCCAGTTGAAGTAATACAATCGAACGGTTTCCTGAATCAATTGACGGAGAAGACATATAAATCGCTCAAAAATGTAAATACAAAGTTCAGCTAATTGCAATAACATTTCCACGTATGTACAACGCCTTGTCATAGTTTATAGTGTGAATAAAGGTTTACCAACGCCTCGTACAGTTACGTAAATATAAATATCAATGAAAAATAAATATTTAAGTTTAGAAAAATGTATTATGGAGGAAAAAAAAATGATTTTATAAAATAATGAAGTGGCTGGAGTGATACACACGATCAATCCTCAAATCTTATACGGGTAAAGTTATTATTTATGTACAAAATGTTCAGTCAAAATAATATGACTATAGGTCATCTTCCAGTTGACAAATGGATGATCAAGAACCATAAATAACGGCAACCAAATAACCAATAATTATACACTTCTTATTGTAATTTATACTTACATAAGTACGAATTTGCAAGGCACGTCGTCGAGTATTTTCATTGATAACTAAAAATTTATTGATCATTCCATTTAATTCCATCAATCGAGAATCTTTACGAAGATCATCCTGTTGCAATTAATTTATTAGGAAACAGTTAAACGAAATCACAGAATTTGAAAATATTAACTAAATACTGAAACTGAAATAATGAGCACTATTGAGAAGTCTAAGTACTAGGACGAAATGGCCGTCCAGTGCATCCAGGTTTTCAACGGTGGTTTAGCTTAGATCGTCTAGTGATTTCAAGTGTGAAATAAAATTATTGATAATAAACAATTTTCTTGACGGTGTTTATATTCAAAGATATATGTAGTTATCAATTAGTCTAATTAATTTTAATTTAATAGTTGTTTATCTAAAATCAAATACGCTGAAAAGTCTTGACGAAACAGTCTGACACCAGAATTCGTGTAGGATCAGCCATGAAATGATTGATTCTTATAATACAGATTTATAGATTCTTGAACCAAATCATCTAGTGGTAGCATCTTTAAATGCAACATAAAACCACAATTTTACACCCTAGATAAATTATATCTGAACTCCTTTATGGCTACTTGAGATATTAGTCTAAATGATATGCAATTAAATGGATACAGAGAAATTAAATCCTTGTGGAACTCAAAATTGGTTTTCATAAACTACTCCATATGTATAGAAAGTAGCCCGATAGTGAGAAATAATCTTTCCAGGGCTGTTAATACATGTTTTACGGTTGACAGAACTGATTTACGAGAGTTAAGTATCAAGTAGAAAACTGAGTGAAACGAGTACAAAACAACTGCTTATTTATTCGGTTGGAATAAATAAGAAATAAACGTTTTCAGCAGAAGTCGGACACCTAATAAGACATATTTATAATATTACTACAAAAAATTGTGTTTTCATACTTCACATAAACTAGAAAATGATAGTTTTATTGTGGTTTGATATATTACTAGTGCGATATATCTTTGGGTAATTTTGGGATACAAAAGTGGAAAAGAACTTACATTAGGTTTGGCAACAATAATATACTCCCTACCATCTGATCCAACCACGTCATTTTCTTCGGTCTAGTCTGTGATCCCAGTATTTCTACAGAATCTTCTATATGTGTAAGACAAACTAATCTATCTGGTTGTTCAGCAAATGGCCAATGACGAGCGATTTGTTCAGAAGTAGCGTTGGGTAGTAAATGATTGGGGACTAGTTGACGATGAATTGGTATAAGGATACGTGAGAATTCACTTGTATAAAAAGAAATGTAAGAAACATTCAAAGGAGGGAAATTTTATTTAAAACAATGAAAGTGAGCAAATTATAGCAAATCAATATACAGTGTGAACAGTTTATGTCAAGTATGAATGCCTACCTGCTTTCAATAAGACGTGTAATTGGACGCACAGTTTGACGTAAACTAAAATTACGAAGTTCGCGTCGGTCAGCCGTCATGAATAATCCACATACTGTTTTCAGATGATTGCATAAGGAGATAGAATCCTGTTTGAAAAACATAAACCCACAGTTAGGAAATGTAATGTTATGGAAAAAATTAACCAGAACCACAATGACGAAATGTATAGACTTACAGCAATAAATTTCGACAAGTGCGATTGTTTTGTTCTGAAAATGAAGTAAATTAACAAAGCAATATGAGTCAACCAAATAACGAATAAATAATTTAGTGAAGTTTCAACATAAAAAAGCAATGAAAAGAAGTATATGCATTTAGACAGAAACTAAACAACTTATAAGCAAATCATTGTTTTAATCAGCGATTTTCGCTGGTGCAGGAGTAGGTTAGAAGAAAACTTGGGGCGGGCAAATCAAAGCCGTAAAGTCATCGACTGTTGAACTGCAGCGTGCAGGAGTATGAACACTATCCAGGGTCCTTGTAATAATCGTAACCAATGATTAGATAAATTAGGTGACATGACCTAGAATCCTTCGCAACGGCGCACTTGTATTCACTCTTTGTCTTTTCTTGAATCGTTAATTTCTAATTAATCTTTTACAAAAACTTATTACGCGAACCCATATTTTCTTCTCGGATCAAATCTCCAATGCCGAATTTTTCCTACTTCCAAAAATATTGTTATTACTTCTTGTTATATCCTAGTGAAGATTAAATTGCGGGTAACTTTTGAGAACTATTAATAAAACTAATATATATATATTCTTATTGTACAACTATTTAGTAAATAGATTGTGTTTACCTAGATTCCTTTTATTATAAGCTTTGTTTTAACTTATAGATTATTATTATTATTATTATACGATTTACTATCCTTTTGTTATACAGAGTTTATTAATTACAGTCTCTCACAGTCACAGCTACTTTTGGACTTGATTTTGTACAAATGTTATTTCCCATTTCATAGTGTGATGTGGTCTGTTTGGTTAGTATATAAACCAGGTATGTTTGAAATAAATGATTCGTAAAGTGGAATCTGGTATTGGTGTTCTGGACTCAACTGGCAGAACTAGCAGGAAAAAAGACCAATAAAGACGCTAGGCTGCTCATACCGATCGAACATCATTGGTTTGGCACAGTGTTAAGATTATATAAGTCGTATTCCGATTGGCGAATAAGTCACGAGATAATTAGCCGGGCTTAAAGTCACAACAATTGTAATACATTGACATGTCACTGTGCAGAACTGGCGTGGCAAATTGAACCGATGGGAATATGGGCCAGGTTCTATGTTGAGCATGACTGACTGAAAAAGCTTTTTTTTAATCAAAAAACAGTGAGCATCATTACGTTACAATCCAAAAGCAAAAGTATAAATATCACCTTGTGCCCAAAGCATAGAAGTAGACAGTTGGAAGGAACATGATCAATTTCTTAGGAAAAAAAACCCAAGAATGGAATTCTGTATTGAAATGTATCAATCTCACAGGCTTATGACTGATGTAGCAGAGCAATATGACAGTATGTATCAGACTTCAAGCAAAAATTATTGGATGCATAGGTTATCGAAGAAATAAATCATCACTGGTATTATACGTCAAACTCAAAAACACTGATATTTTACACCTAATGAAACAGTAATAGGTAACATTTTTTGAGTATAAGGAGCATAAGAATAGCAGCTAGCATACATTTCAATAACGAACAAAATTACGGTGATTCTAGAGAAAATCAAGTGGGAAGGATTCAATAAATATTGACTCGAAAATAATCGACACAATTTCATGCTATCTATGATGACGTACTTAATCATGTTGAAAATTTGCTGACAACGATCTCTTCGTTGGCGGACAGTAGACTGTAAAACGAAACAGGAATAAACAAATTGATAAAATAAACTAAGAAAATGGAAACACAGCTATTTAGTTAAGTAATAAAAAGGAAAGTCATACAATATAGGGAAATAAAATAATGAAACGATTAACTAGTAAAGTTATCAGCTATTTTCGTATTCACTGGATCCTTTTACGATCTCAATCAATGGGCTTTTTGAGACGACGTTAGCTGTCATACAACTTAATGAAAATAAATTAATCTTATTGATAAAAAATGTTTATCATCTTCATCAAACTCTGTTACAACTTATTTGACGTAAGCTGATTTTTTGGGATTACATTTTCTAAAGATTAGTTTACAAACATTGTTGGTCATTATTGATTTGGAATGTGAGGACAGAATAGTCCTATCAGTCAAACAAATTAACTAAAAAACGTCTTTTGGTAATCTAAGAGGAATCATTGTTACACTTTGCTGATGAGGGCCATAAGTTTTAGCACTAGACGTCTTACCGCAGATCACGAATTTGTACACTAATTCTACGACTTAGGTAGTTTCACATGTTATAAACTTGACTTTATCGAGAACAAGAACCAAGATTTATGTATTAAGTTACAATGAATACTGAAATAAATGTGACTTATGGTTCAAAGAAAACCACTTAACTGCTACAAGCTGTTTTACCCGGTACTTGACGAGATATTTATATACAAAAAAGTGCCATTGTGTTAGAATTACCCGTTTGTCAAAAATTCAGACTAAAGTGTAGCTTATTGATGACTTCAACGAGGCGGAAAGTTACTGAAGAGTGGCTAGTGTGAGAAATGATAAGCCAATAGCTATACATTTATTCTAAGGATAACGATAAATTGTGAATCAGTGGCTAGAGATCTAAGAAAATAACCTATCCCAAAATAATTTTGGGATTTGCTACTTTGTTTTTATTACTGATTTTCTTCGACTATGATCTTCGTCATTAAAGCTAAAATTAATATATCAATTTGTAAACCCAACTGTATATTTTACCGGAAGTAAGTGGCGAATATCTTCTATTTTTCAAAGCCTCGTTTCACAGTTATTAAGAAGAACAGGACAAACAACTATGCAGTATACTCATCCTTTCGGTAGGTGTACACGTTTTGTACGCCCACTTGCAGCGTAAGTTGGCAAAAGGCAAAGGAGCTTTCTGAATCTGTGCCAAGATTTCTTTCAACACCAACCCCCAGAATTCATGAAACTACTAATATAAGTGAAGTGTTCAAGGCGCTCAACTACTTAAGTTTCTATAGTTAGTTTAAACCAGTTCTGAAGCACCAAGAAAAGGTGCATCTTTTAGAATATCTTATCTCGGTGATAACAACAACATAGCATAAAAAAAGCAAAAATACGACTCGATAATCGAAATGCTTACGTCATTCAGTGGAATCAAAAACCACATGGTCTGTAACGGATAAGCTTCAAAAATGCGGACTACTAGTTCGATTAACGTAGTAACTACAGCTGGAATTTCATGGCACACACGCGATAACAGTTGACTAAGAGCAGTGTAAAACTGATAAACAGGAATTCGCTGACAATTAATACGCATAAGCTAAAATGAAAGGAAAACAGCTACAGTATGAGTACCTGTACAACGATCGATATTGGAAACTTTAAATGTAAATAACAGTAAAACTTGTCGATAAGCAATATGTTTATCTTTTGGGCTTAAGGTAACATTGGAGCCTAGTTCACGAGTGCTTAGCTTGAACTTGAAAGTTAATATTTTGGTGTTTAAAAGGTTGTTTCTCAGCTACATATCACGAACGTTGACTGCAGCTTCTACCGTGAAATAGTAACCGAACTTGTTAACAGAAACTACCCAGTCAAAAGATGTTGAACATAAAATTTACATATAACTGATATAAGTTGAAGAACAGTCGAAAGCTAGATTGCACTGTATTGCTGTTTTTAGAGAATTGGTAGAACACTTGAATGATACAACATAATCCAGGTTGATATTCATATGCAAGGATGATAGGTAGAATAAAACTCTCTATCATGAGTAAACTATTTTCAAAGATTAATTACAAACTCTAAGTTTTAAAACAAGACAAGGATTCGTCAACTGTTCAATATTTATTACTTGGTAAACTTACCTCTTGAACTTCAGTGAAGACCTTTTGTTCTGAATGTAGATTATTTTCTTCAGTATGTTTTTGAGGCTTATTTAATTCATGAAAATTACGAACAGAATCTTGACCATAATCCAACCATAATGTTAATAATCTTGGCATTGACTGATAAATAAATTGACTGCCATAACTTAAAGCTAAACCGTATTGTTTCAAAGCTACTTTGATTAGTGCACTGCAAAAATAAAAGTCAAAACACAGTATAAAAATAATACTAAGTGAATGAAAATTATTTTCGAATGAATACTTTGCGTCTTAAGTGACTAGGAGAATTTCTACCAAAACTCAAACTTAATATTCATAACACAGATAAGGATAAGTTTCACTGTCGCCAAAAAATTGCTTGAATAAGTCATCGTAATTGTGTATTATTGCGGTGAAACTTATGGTTGATTTTAAACAGAAACTAAGAGCTTACATATAAGTAGATATATGAATATATATAAGAATTTTTGAACAAGAGAGTTTCTATCACAGTACAGATGAATACAGAAGAATTTGAAAGTTATTAATAAATATGTTGTTTACTAAGTCATCAATAACCAAGTAAAAATTGAAAACATTAAGAATGTCTTTTGTTTTAACAGACTAGATCAGTAGGTCAGAATTCCCAGTCTACGACGTTACGTGTAAGAACCACGTTCACATCCGTTGTAAAAGAATCTGATGAATAAGACTGAATGCTTAACTACCATTATTTCTTCTTTACTACTCGTGTGTTCATACGTTAATTACTGATGCACCTCGTTCTTTTCTACAACGTAACTTGATAATTAATTTAACAAATCTATTTCTCATAATTTTCTTTGAACTACGAACTGATCTTGGGTAGATCACTACTGTAAACCAGGAAGTATTAGACAACTGTTTTGTTCAAGCATAGGACTCCTCAGCAGTATGCAATCAAAACCTCTATACTACGAAAAAACAGCTGTACATTGCTTTCTGGTTCCCGTTGGTAGTCTACCCAAGATCAGTTCGTAATTTTTAAAAAAAACTAATTTTGGTTTAATTCTAGTGTTCAGATATTTGATTTGATAATCAATAAATCACAAGATTATTGAAATTCAGACAGAAAGAACATAACTTTAAAGCAACTAGAGAATAACCGGAAAGTATGTTCAAATGATAGGAAAATTTATCAACTGCCAGATAACGATTATCAGATAGTTGTTTTTGGGGTAAGTAGTATTCATTTTATCACGAACTACACAACTATATGAGATTTGAGGGCTAGTCTATCGCACCTCGACCAAATTGACTGACCATTGATAAATAAAATTGTTGATAATATTAACGAAAACTGGTTAGAAATGAATCATATTATTGATTCTTTAGATAAGAACGATGAATTACATCTGAGAAACAACAGTTAGGAGGTCAATATAGATAACTTATAATTATTTCAATTACAAAATCATCAGATTCATACGTAGTTTTATTTAGCGTATGATAAAAGGTGTTTCATGATAGATCGTGTATATTACCGAAGTGCTGGAACTCAACATTAAAAACATTAAAACAGACATAAAAAGCCAATAATCAAACAACGTTAGCGAAAAAATAACCACTACATTCCCAAACATGAAATCTCAAATACTTTTGTTGTTTACAGCCAACTGCCTCAGTCCGAGCCCGGTCAACATAACGTGCAAGACGAAAATGAGCCTCTTCATAACCGGAATTAAAACCACAAACTTGTTCATAGAGTTTTCCGGTAGTTTCAAAATCATATCTGTTCGTTTCTTCACAATAACGCGTGCGTAGAAGTAAAGCCTGATTAGTTCGAATGAAATGAACAAAGAATGGATAGTCAGTTACGTACATCAAAAAAGAAAACCACGTGAAAAAATAAATTAGTTTGAGTTTCTGGGTTACTTAAAAATATACTTAAAAGAAAAACAAATACATTTTGAAACATACTATACATGATAGTGAACTATTATCGCCAGTCCTCAGTATTTTAGAACTTTAAAAGTCAGTAAACTAAGACATAAATATTTACGTATCTTTAGGCTTTCTTTATCTGATTTCAAAGTGTAGTGAACTTTGAAGTATGCTGTAACTAATTATTAGCAAAAAGCATATTATTAACAAAGTAAACGTCAACTCCTACTTTTACACCAAATAGTCATCCTATTGGACAGTGAGGTATTCAATAAGCAAACGTGTTATACACTACTGAAATTTAAATTGACACTTTAGAAAGACGTTTAGTAAAAGTATAATGTACAATGAATCTTGACAAATAAGCCTTAACATATACGAAATGATTCGTCTAAAACTAAAATCAAGATATTTACCCTAAGTATTTATGAACAATAATGTAACGGTAACAGTTGTAACTAATCAACTAGATGAAATGATTCCCTTAGAAGCTCTTGTTAGAATCGTTCAAGAAAGTACATACGGAGTTGGTGTGTAACTTGACATAACTCCTATCTCAAAGAGCACATTGACAAGTTTAATCTCATTAAGTTTTCCAGATATACATATATGCTTCCGAAAAGTCGTGTGTTGCTGAAACAATTTGTGCCTTAGTGTACATGAATATGTTAGAAGAGTAACTTCAAGACAAACGGCCAGTTCAGAAGTTTACAATTATATCTATCAACGTGCATTAGTATATTTACTAAGAGCGTTTACGTAGTCTGTTGTATTATGAATTAGTTTTGATTAGCAACTAAACTTTATTTCTTTTATTTTTGATACAGTTATTTCTTGTCAAAAAGATTTTGTAAAAGCAATTTATTCAATTTATGTATATATTTACCTGTTGTGCAGAAATAGTTCTATATTCTGTAGAAACTTCAATATTTTCATTGGATTGTTTGTTACGGACATTGAAAATACTACAACCAAAAACGTCTGGTATACCCTTATCCAAACATGCTTGAGCAGCTTCTCTTTTATCAGTCTGCCATAATAGTTTAGCCCTTTCAAGTAGAGCATCTGGAATTCCAAAATCTTCAGCACGAAGAACACAAGTATAAGCTGCCATAAATTGTCCAGATCTTATATGCAAATCAAAGTGTAAAGTATGTTTGCCATGAGAACGTCCATTCAAATACTCAATAAAAAATGAATTAAATTTTAGGTATCTTGGAATTGATATATAAAAGTAGACGTCACAACTACAAATCTGATGAAAATGGCAGAGTATTGAACGACTTATGTTTATCGTAGAAATAAGCACAGGTGATCAAGTATTCGAAAAGGATGAATACGCTAACAACTTTATGTCCTTTTAAAAATATGAAATCCGGATCTTTTTTCTCAGTGTCTGTATTCAAATTAAGTAGTGTGATAAAGTTGTTGGAAGAAATAAATAGTATTTATCTCACACTAACGAAAATCCACTACTGAGGGTTTTATTTAAGTTTCACTTTTGTAATCAAGTTCATATGAACACTTATGGTGTCTTATATTTCATTAAATACAGAAAACTGTAATCATGCAGATTAGTTCTGTATAAAAATTCCTTTGACGGCATATATGTTAAACTACGTAACTACGTAATCTCCTTTCTCATCATTCAAAATTGAACGCAGACTGATGTCTTGGAAATTTCTAACAGTATAAATTTTAGACTTTACAATTATTTTTATTTCTACTTTGCTGATCAACCGAATAAAATCAATCGGTTTTAATACTACATATTTTTATTAAGCTGCTGTGGATACCCTGATAAATTACCATAAATAACTGAGAGTTTGAAAAGATAAGTTGACATATTAACGAATACGCTGAATATGTTGTTAGAAGAAAAGAAAATTGTTCAAGAATATCAGTTGTCTTATGTTCAGCTAGGTACTGGTCAAAGTAATTGGGCGGTTTTCATAAGAAATCATCTACTTCGGACTAGGCGGAACGTAAAATTTTAATTTTTACAAGATGATTATGGACGGAAAATTATTGGAAAACACAATTAAACGATAAATACACCTTTCTGTCTATTTAGACTTTATAATTTGCAAAACTAAAAAAACTGTCCCATTCAAAGTTTATGCATTTGTTGGTTTGATCACAAAACAACTTGATAACGAAAAGGGATATACTCTGCCAAATTGTTGGTTAATATTCAACTATTTAAATGTAATAAAATAATATGATAATCGATACATAAATTTTGGAAATTAAAATCATTAGTTACAACTTACTTTCTAGCTAGTTTAGCACGTTCTAACCAATTATAACCTAAAGCAGTACGTAGTCTCAATATTGTAGAATTCAATACTTCTCGATTAGATATTTGATATGCATCGCTGTTCAATGAGCTTAGAGCTGAAGTGACAAGTTGTAAAGCTGCATGTTGAATAGCTAAAACCGGTTCTAAAGTATGAAAAGTTGGTCGACTAACACGTATTCGAGTTTCTAATAATTTTAAAGATGTCTCAACGATATTCTAAAAAAAATTAGCAGACAGCATACATAAATTTGTAGTAAAGGATTTAGGTTATATTACTTACGAAATATCAATATGGTTCTAATTAATACATTAGTAAGCTTATCACTAATAGCTTACTACACATCAATTCATTCACTAAAAACAAGAAATTTTAAATGTCTGTATAATGTTTACCATGCCAACTGGAAGTTAAATGAAATAATACACGTTTTAAACATATATTAACTTAAAGTACAATTTATTATTCAAATATATTTTTTTCAGCTGGACATACAGCATCCCTATATTTAAGAACAATTCGTTTCTAGTATAACATACACTGTCCACTATAAAACTGTTGTAGATGAAATGTCATGCAATAAAATATGTGCTTCTCAAACGTTTTGTGATAACAAAGACAAAAAGAGTTATTCAATAGCACTTTTGACCCGAAAATAGATTTCATAGGATATTATTCAAAACGCAACTCATAATTAATTCATCATCAACCATAATAAGAAGCATTTATGATACAATGAAATGAATTTTCTATAGGTGAGTAGTCAACATCATTTTATCCATGAAATATGTGACCGATCAATTTTACTGCTGGTGTGACATGAACCAGATTGAAAAAAGTACTAAACATTTACATTAAAAAGACCGGTAAAAGAAAAAGAATCGAGAAAAATAGATGTTGATAAACTTGATATTAAAACAATTACTAGAAAAAAATCCAATACCTATAAATACAAAATAATAACTCACTGAAAGTTTATTTTCCGATGATCGAGAATTTGTTGGATTTCGAATTTCATTCATGATAACATCACCTAAAGAACTTATCAATTCGATGTCAGATAAAGAGCTTAAACGGACTATTGTATCATAAGCACGTATATAACCACCAGGACCTTCAAGTGCAGCAGCGCCGAGTTCAGTCACTTGATCTATTCTTAAACGGGCTAAGATTTTTGACCAATCAGATGTTCGCTTTGAGAAAGTAAAAATCAAACAAATGATCTAGTTCAGTACATATACAAACTATGAATGAACAAAACCAAGTAAGTAATTCAGTGATGAAGATCTTTCCGCAAATAATTCAATCATTTAAAAGATAATTAATTAAGGGAATGATTCAATACTTTGCTGTCGCTAAAGTGAACGTCACATTCATACAAAATCATCTAAACAACCATTGCAAGCCCATGTTATATCGGAAATGACACACTCAAACAACCATTCAATTTCATTTGTAACGATTCTAAATGATCGTACTTTTTCTGGAAACATAAGTCTTTGAGGTTACAACACATAAAAACTAAGTCCCATTAGAAATGAGGCTTTGGAGTAGGAGAGATGTAAAACACTAAAATGATGAAAATGATCAGTAAAAGTTAATGCGATCACTTTAAACATTTTATCTTAACATGGTTAAAAAAACCCAGTGAGAAATAAACAAAGTAATTTACTAGATGGAAGCTGCTTCTTAACGAAGACAGTTGTTCGAAGAGATACGAAACAATAATCATCAATCAGACAGCTGAAATATTAATATGTTGGAATCATATAACAGTTATTAGAGCAAATCCAAGCATCTATATAAATACTCCATGATCAAATGAATAGTTTGTTAAAACTGATGTTATTTGATATACCATTAGTTAGGTCGAAATGTGTGAATGAAAGGTGAAAGACCAGATTTTAGACCTTAGTTATATCTCTCATAGAAGTATTCAAGTAAGTTAGTTAAAATTATTCAATGACAATATTTCTCAAGTGTTTTGATTATAATCAAAGAGATAATATCATGTAGCGCCATGGCTTAGAGATAATTCTTTAGGTTTCGTTACCGATCACCTTGACAACCGTTATCATATAAATCCAAACGGTGTAAGAACTCAGAAGGCAATTAGAAGCGGCGACTACAGCCATTTATTAGACAGAACATGTAACAAAGTTACACGTACAGAGTGCGAATGGGATCAGAGTGGCTGGTGTGTGCAAGCGAATACAGAGGTGGATTCACAGTCAAACGGAATTAAGGCCAAGCGAAAGCAAGGGCAAGGCAATCAATAAGATTCCAGCATATATATATATATATATATATATATATATATATATATATATATATATATATATATATATGGGAAGGAAAATGATTAATCAAGCGATATTTAAGCGACTAACATTTAAGGTACAGTGAGGAATATGTGCGTAGGCTGTCAAATGTGCTCAAGCATACACATTTAAACAAACAAGATAGTGATTATAATAATACAAAGAAATATACGAATTGTTACTGTTCGAAAAACACTACCTTTTAAATACGTTAATAAAACGGCTCGACAAAATTAACCGCAATCAAAATTAATCGTAATAGTTGCTGTAAGCACAATCAAATCATTTAAACTACCCAAGAGATATCAAAATGAAAAATAAAACGTCATTATTAGCAATAAACCTCATCGTGTTGGCACAATTAATTTATTCAGTTTATAATGGAAAATCATATCAAATACTGTTGAAGTCGCATAAACAGAATATTAAAACCAACCTTATCTTTCATTGCTAAAAATAGCCGACCTAGTCCAACCGACCAAGAACATTCAAAGAGGTTCTATGGAAATATAAAGAATGTAATAATTTGGACAAAATGATATGTATAAAACAAATATTTATCACTGTTAAGATAAACTGAGTCCTGACGAAACGGAAATAAGACTAGAACCTTAGTGAACTAAAGATATTTATGACTAGAATTATGGATTAAAGGGTTTCATTATATGCATCTGCACAAAAAACAACTACCTAGAAAGCGAGAAATATCATCAGAAATAACAATCTATGGCAGTCAACCTCAGGATCAAATAGTTAGTCATTATTAAGATACAGTATAGTCAAGGAACACTTCATGCGAATGTGAGAAAGATTGATTTAACGAGCGCAATAGACGTTCATGGAAAGTTATATTAAATATTTAATTCAAGATTATATGTAGGATGTCTAGAAAAGATTCGGAGAAAAATAGGTTAAAAGACTAAAGAAGTTCAGTAGGAATCATTTACGAAATAATAAAAGTTGAAGTACCTAGTTTTATTAAGTGGTACACATCATATACATAATTCTTTAAACAATTCGTTTGACTACAATCACGAGAATTATTATCACGGAAACTATTCACACTCAATGAATATATGTATGGTCTTGTTTAAAAACGTTCTAAAAAGTATCTATATGAAGAACTAAAATAATAAATATTTTACATCATTTTGATGCTCAAGATTTACATGCAAAGTTAACCTTATTTGGTCAGGTAATCAATGAAAATATAAAGTTGCGCAGAAAACATACCATGTTAGTAGTTTCCTGTAGAGTTTCCCAGTCGCCTAAACGCCAAGCTGCTTCCGCTCGATGAGCGTTCAGACAATCTACCCAAACAGTTGAATTCCCGAAAGTATTCGAATAGGATTTTGATTTTCTCACAAGAGCACCTGCTCGTTCAACTAGACCATGTAATCGAGCTGGATCAGGAAGTTCACAACGAAACAGACCACTGTACATCAGTAATGCTGGTTATCTCGAATTTCTTTAGAAGGCTGTTGACATTGTGAAGAACGGTAATTAGATTCAGAAGTAGCCAAGCTATGTTCGTAGGCAGCAGCAGCCATATCTAGCTGTCCTTCGTTTTCTAGTTCTAGAGCGCGAAGTAATGAAAGCGTTGTGTTGTATCGCTTGACAATTCCATATTATTATTACATGATTTCGATTCATGTTGCTTCCCTTATTAAATTCATGGCTAAAAGCAGTAAACGCTAACTGAGTAGCTGATAAGACACCTGCTAAACCTGAAATTTAATAAAGCATGAATCGAAGGTTACAGACGCATAGTTGAATGAAAAAAACCTGATGGCTAGACAAATACATTTAGCTATTAATTAACTACAACACCAAACTGAGCTATATATATGTGAAACGTTGATGTTCGAAACTAACCCGTTAAAATGATAAACACGTAGAATTTGAACAACAAAAGAAACCTACTGATTCTTTAAAAAGAATAGAAAAGTTTCAGCAAAGGAATTTTTCTTTTCGATGATATCGTTTTCTTAAGCTGTACAATCGTATTGATAAGTTTTCTTTACATTGAGTAATTCATAGTAAAACAGAAGTGTTATAAAATTATCAAAGATAATCGAATATAAAAGTCTATCCATATGGAGTGATGTTGTACAGTTTAATGGAGTGATCAGGGATTGTCAAAAGATTTCAAATATTAAAATATGACAGTCTATAAATAGAAGGATGTTATTTCAAAGTAATTAAAGTCATCGAATGAATGTTGCATCATTTAGCAAAGAAATTAAAAAAAAACTATCAACAAATAAAGTTAATTAAGTCCCAGAAGTAATAGGAAACACAATTAGTACAATTAATACAAAGACAACTGAATTATTATTTAAGATTGGCATCGATTCTGTCTTGAATATATATTTTTACAGTTAAGTGAAAACGATTAGCAGTTGCTTAATGTTCACAAATACAACTGAACCAAGACAAACACACAAAATAAAAAGTAGTCCTAGATTTACAACAAAACGAATATACGGATAACTTTTTGGGATGAACAATTAAATAGTCGAACGGCTAGAGAAATAAAATAGTGGATGGCACGAAAAATGTGTGATTAGAATAAGATAACAGTATCAGTTAAAGCAAATCGGAATAAGCAATTACGCACTGATTATAAAGTCACTTGAACATTAGTGCTATAAGAGAAGCCAGAGAACGATGTCACGGATACACGAACTGACGAATCAACAAAGAGGAAAGAATTAATACAAAGTTATAGGTGAATCATATCGGATCTGTTCACTAAAAATGAGGAAACTCGTTATAATTAGCATGCAAATAGTGCTTAGTACATAAGGATACTAAGAAACGAGCCAGAAGTATATAAGCATCGATTAACTCATAGAAAAACTAAGATAAACTGAATGCTTCTGAGAACAAGGACTTACTTAAAATTAAGAGTAGAATGATTTCTGGGACCTCAATAACAGACATGTTTGAAAACACAGTTATGCTTAGTGTCACATGGACTAATTACATGCGAGCTAACAATATTAAACATAAAATGACTGGTAGGTTAGTCTATTAAAACGTAATACTGGCATAATATCATCAAAAATAGAGTTGAAATAATCTCTTACCATCTGAATCGTGTAGAGATGCATAAGTATCCAGTAAGCCAATGAGTATTGTGAAAACTGTTTTACGAAGTCCATTAGAGAATTGCAGAGTAGATTGTATATCAGATGATAAAATAGAATTCGTTCCAACTTGATCTGAAACTGTTTTTCGTAAACCCAAGAGTATGATCAGTATTAGATCGACAAATAGCAGTGCCAGTGATAAACGCTGATTGTTGGGCTTCTGTGTCCTCACCGTATGCTAACTCCCAATGTAATAATGCCCTAGCAAAGCTGCCGCATCGTAGACTGGCTTTGGCTTGTAATAAATTAGGAATGTTTGAAAGAAATGAAGAAACACGTTCGACACCTAAAATGTGAAAAGTGATACACAACAAAATAGTAATATATCCAAACTGTGCAACATTTAAAATTAGGCACATTATACTCACCCTCCAACGGTGCTACAGCATGTTGAAGAATATTCACATCCTTAAGGACATTCTGAACAGCGCTGGCAGGTTTTACAGTCGACTTTGTTGCTTGATATTCCTGCTGAATCCTTAACCAATGCCTTAAATAATCCAATAAACTGAAAATTGTTTGAACAGACAACGGGAACCACGGCTGCCACGGTCGATTACTTGCAGGATGAACCTTAGTTACCATTAAACAAAAATTAATAGAATTTAAGACTGAATAAACGGAGGTCACGAACAATGGCAAGCAATAAGGACAGTAAACGTTTTGTATCATTAGGACAGTTTGAAACAGAAAACTATGAACCTCTTATTTGTAAGGGAGTCTTTCTAGTAAATATATACGGACACTTCGCTTGAGTAACAATAAGGGTGGACGATTATCATTAATAAGCAAATCAGACAGTTTCATAAGTTGCAGAACAAAGGGTTTGATTTGTAATCCAGGGGAAAACCTATGATATATTGTGTGCAGTACAAGTATATGGAGAATATAACAGTAGAGCACTCAACTACAGCTGGAAATTATAATATTTTATTTCTAAATATTGTTATCATTAAAAATGTTTGAAAACGATTAGCTATTCACACATTTGAGCAGCATTATTTTTCTTAAACATAAACACACGGTATTTTTCGATTTATTATTCATCTGACGATCGGTTAATTATGCTATTTTAAAAAAGAATATAATTTCCTGAATTGGGATTTCCTGAAAAGTTTAAATGATCCATGTAGTGTTTTCCAGTAGAACTATTATTCCGATAAATGAACTCTTTGCCGAGGTAAACATTTTAACGATATAAAAGTATACGAAAGTTAACACATACTTTTACACCACTAATAGAAATTGGCTTAATTGAAAGAAATCAACATCTAAGCATGTGGGTGAGATGAAAGTTTCCCTAATTCCGGTTCATATTTATGCTGTTCGACCATATTTCGAATGTAACTAAAATTAGTTAAAAATGTGCGGAAATAATGAGTCACCTTAGTCACGGGTCAGTTGTCATATTTTGATATCCCTGAGACTCAGTGAGACACATGATAATAAAGGATATCTTCACACTTGTTATTAATTTGTGTTGTTTACTGTAAGACAATTTTCCTTATTAAATCAAACTATATGGTAATTTTACTTATATTTACTTCAGTCATTTGAAGTGAGATAATGAAATGACGATAACTTTAAATATTCAAGCTAACTATTACACTGATTATTGTCATATTTGTACATGTAATCTTATATACTGATACACAATATCACTAAACGTTTCTAGAATAAATGAACAATACTAAATAATATGGAAATTAATTAACAAAACTAAATTCATCAGGCAAAACAGTAATTTATAAGATGAATTAACTAGGCGTGAAGGGATACATTCTAACAAATTTCTTCTTTACGTATAATCGCTAGCTGAGTATTGACCTTAGTAAGTAGCAATGCACAATATATTGTCGCTTCAAAAGTTGTAAGTAATTAAATGGAATATTAAAAATAATTTGAAAATTTAATAGCGTACTTCCTGAAGATTGACATTTTTTAAAAGATAGTCAAATTCAACATGACTTCCATTCTCATGAATCGATTCAGTTACTTCTGTGAGAACAGCTAAAATTTCAGAATTTAGCTAGAAAGTAAAAGAGCACAATGAGATCTTTCAATATAAAATTTATTTATTCTTTTTTTTTAATAAAAAAGCAGATACCTTCAAAATATGAGAAAAATTTATCCACCTGCATACTTATAGCCAGACCACGGAACACATTGCATCGTGATTTGTAAGATACGTATAGTAGAGTGAAATAAGTGTTAAGATTTTCCTTAATATCTACAGTTTAAAATTCCTAACTATTATGAATCAAAGTATGATATGTTTTTTAACCACCTACTAGTTTACACTAGGAGATAATCCAATTTCGTAATACAAATGAATATTTATTAGAAATTTCAAACCATAATTGTATGTTTTTGGTTACAAGCGTATTTAGTTGCATGAGTTTTAATACCAAACACAGAAATTTAACGAACAATCCGGTAGAAATGTGCATAAGTCCAAGTAACCAACAGACAGAAAATAAATTGACAACAAGAATACATAATTAGAAATAATTATATTAACACGAGTATAGAACTAAACAGAAAAAAGTAGAAAAATGGGGATAGAATATGACTGATAAATAAAGAAGTATGAGGTAGCTACATTCAAAACATTAAAAAACAAAGGATAAATACATTTGAGCCAGTGCTATCACAGTTTAACATAATTATTTAATTCTTCCAATGGCTTATTATGACAATTTCACAAATTATAACAAAGAAGTCTGATTCTATCAAAAGGAAGGGTATGAATAGTTAATGACTAAAAAATTGCCATTATTTATGTCCTAATGTAACCCAGCCTTCTTTGACAAGCTAACCAGAGTAGAACATTGAAGTAAATAAAGACTGTCACATATGTAAAGTATGTTTTCAACACTTAATTCGATCAGGGTTAAGGACTTCAACCGATTAACTCCTTTCTTCACTTACGTAGAGTCTTATTTCTAACACTAACAAAGTTCACTCTTTTGCTATAACATAAGCGCATAAAGAAATCAATCATTTACGGCTAGCCCGGTTTATAGCGACTTTGGCTTGTTTATGTATAACTATATTTTATTTTGTTTTGTGGTGTAAGGTAGTCCAGTATTTCTGTTTATAAACCCAAGTGTGCTTGAAATAAATAGCAATAAACATAGAAGCTTAACTGAATATTTCTCTTTGATCTTAAAGCTGAGTATACATAAAACATCGTGCATGAGTGACCAATGGGAATGTAGCTTGCATTAAATCAAGGCCAACTGTGCCAACCAGAATGTATTTTTGCTCAAACAAAAAAAAATACAAGACTATAACTGGAATAGCAGATGTGGATAAGGATTATCATCAGAAATTCTGACTGATGAATTCAGCACGTCTCAAAACATAACAAGAACCCATTTCATATACTCATAATGTCACTCAACGTTTAGTTCATCGCGTATTCGTAAAAGCAGAATTTGCGAAAAGCAACAGAAAAGTCCTCTCGGCAGCTAACGAAGAACATATCCATGACATATTGGATGGATGATTTCATCAATGATTTATAAAGTAGAAAAGAAAACGTCTCTGAAAGTTTCAAATGAATAAAACATTGTGAAATAATTTAGCTTCAAAACAAATAGACTACTACTGTTTTAGGGTTCTTATCACATAAAGATTAGGATAATTTAAAGTTTAGGCCTTGTTTCAGCACGATGCGGAAACAATATTAGTGATCTATTATTTAAACACAAAAGTATTGGTACACCAAAATATCCTTGCGACACACGAATAACTGAATTTGTGTTTGGGCTGAGATATTGTCTGGTCGCTCAAACCGAAGCAGGTGTTTTTCATAGGAAGTCACTCCCAAGGCTTTGACATGAAGGTCTAATCCGCACTGCAACGGAGCAACGTTAGGAGATGCAGTCCCATGGTAGCCAGTGACTAACAACAGGTTCATACGCCATTTGTTCTTTCAGGATCCTGGAGCCCATGTGCACAACTGGTTTTAAACAAGAGTTTTTCAACGTTTCTAGGTGGACCCTCCGTACCGACCAACCTGGTTTAAGAGCCAGGCATTTCTTGTCCTCTCCACCACCTTTAGAATGCAGTGAGGAAGAGTTATAATAGTGATCAAAATCTACGAGCATGTCAATTTGTTCATCAATTTGTGTGTGGGCTGTGATACTGCCCGGGTGCCCAAACCGAAGCAGGTGGTTATCTTAGGGGGCCACTCCCCGAGCCTTTGACGTAAAGGTCTAACCCACAAGGCAGTGGAGCATCGTAAGGAGATGCAGTCCCATGGTAGCCGGTGACCAACGATTGGTTCATATGCCATTCGTTCCCGCAGGATACTGGAGCCCATGTGCACCATTGATTTGGAATCCGGTTAAAGCGCCGGACATTCGCTTTTCGTCCTCTCATTTTCGTAGACAACACCCCCGCCACGAGAAGGCAATGAGTAGGACTTCCCTGGCAGAGGCTGTATACGCGTGGCCGTGTGAGAGTATTTCGAGAGGGAGAGCGGATTCTCCCCACTCTCGGCCGTACCAGGGCAATCACCTGGCCCAGATGACTTACCTCCGGCTCTTTTTAAAGATGGTGGTGACTTTTTGACTAAGGAATTGACGACGTTGTTTACAAAGGTTTGGGAACTAGAGTGTGTACCAACGTCATGGAATGAGTCGATAGTTGTCCCTATCTTTAAAAAGGGTTCACGTCGTTCTTGTAACAACTATCGGGGGATAAGTTTACTTCCGATTGCGTCCAAGCTATTGGCTTCCGTCATTCTTCGTAGGTTGTTCAAAACCCGAGAAAGATTGACTCGCGAGGAGCAGGCTGGGTTTCGTTCTGGTCGAGGATGTATTGATCATATCTTCACCCTCCGCCAAATGTTAGAACACCGCCATACTTTTCAAAGGCCAACAATCGTAGTGTTTCTTGACATCAGGGCTGCCTTCGATTCGTTGGACAGGACTGTTCTCTGGGATTGTCTATTGAAGAAGGGTGTGCCTGAGAAGTTTATTAACATCCTGAAAGCCCTGTATAAAAACACCTCAGGCAGAGTGAGGGCATACAACCACCTCTCTCCATTGTTCCATTCGAGCAGTGGGGTTAGGCAGGGTTGCCCAATCTCACCATTCCTCTTCAACTTTGCCATCGATGACATTCTGGAAACAGCTCTGATGAATGTAAGTAATGGTGGTGTGGATCTGTTGCCTGGAGAAAGACTTCTCGACCTTGAGTATGCGGACGATATTGTCTTACTGTGCGATAATGCCCAAGGCATGCAATCCGCACTTAATCAGTTGGCAATCAGTGTCCGTAGGTATGGTATGTGCTTTGCACCTTCGAAGTGCAAAGTACTTCTACAAGACTGGCAGGATTCTAATCCTGTACTCACCCTGGACGGTGAGCAGATAGACGTAGTTGAGAAGTTCGTGTATCTGGGTAGCTGCATAAGTGCTGGTGGGGGTGTGAGTGATGAGATCAATGCACGAATAGTGAAAGCCAGAGCGGCTTATGCCAATCTGGGCCACCTTTGGCGCCTTCGTGATGTTAGTCTGGCTGTAAAAGGTCGGATCTACAACGCGTCGGTGAGAGCAGTTTTGCTCTATGCTTGTGAAACCTGGCCTCTCCGAGTTGAGGACGTTAGACGACTCTCTGTGTTCGATCATCGCTGTCTCCGAAGGATTGCTGACATTCAGTGGCAACACCATGTCAGTAATGCAGAGGTTCGGCATCGTGTGTTCGGGCACAGAGATGATAACTCAATTGGTGTCACCATCTTGAAACACCGACTTCGGTGGCTTGGACATGTTCTCCGAATGTCGTCCCAGAGAATTCCACGTCGTGCATTATTTGCCGACTCTGGGACTGGTTGGAAGAGGCGGAGAGGTGGTCAGTGCATGACATGGTGTCGTGGCATGAAAGAAAGCTGCAAAGGACTGGCTTGTGTTGGTCCTTCACGACTCCCTGGTTGGGGTCCGAGAGATGGTGCTACACAGTGGCTAGAGACGTTATCAGATATGGCTCAGAATAGAAGCCAGTGGCGATCCTGCTGTAACCTTCTTTTACTTTCTTTCTAAAAAGTGGTTGTGTCTCCTTTACCTGAAAGATTTCTTCTGATTGTACCTTTTCGTTCCGTCGTTACTACCACACTACCTTACTCCAATCTCTTCGTCATTGTTCTCTTTTTCTTTTGCGTTCCCTAGTTTTTTTTTTTCTTTCTATTTCTCTTCGAATTTTCATTGTTTTGTGTGGCGCATATATATTGGCGCTCTCTTGTACCAATATTTATGTGTTCAAATAAATAAATAAATAAAACGAGCATGTCAAACATGTACTTAATCACTTACTGCAGATATTCCATTTTGTGAATCATCTAGTAAGACTTGTAAGGCAGAATGTTCTAGCATTAATCTAGCAAATGTTGCATCCGCTTTACAACAGGTTCACAAAATTGGAAAATATTAAAAACGACAGGAGATTTGATCTAGAAAAAAAGTGAAATAAGACGAAAAATGCTTTGAACGGTAAATAAGTTTACAAAAGATTCGTGACAAGAAATTATCATGAAGATGAATAAAATTCCAGAGAAAATATGAAAACAATAAAATCAAACTAAAGCTTACGTGACTGCTCAGAGAACCAGACCATAGACGTATCCATGATTCGTAGGTTAGATCAGCTTCATTTGTAATTATTGGTATACGTATAGCTGACCAGTTGATAAACGATTCTACAGAATATCTGAAAATAATGATAATAATAATAATAATAATACTCAAAGTGCACATAATTGAAATCAGTGAAACGTTTTCCAGAAACATATAAATAAAAAAGAAAATACCTTTCAAAGCGAATATGATAACACCCGTAAACAGTAGTAGTAAGAAATCACTAGCACATTAAGTAAAGATTTAATGCAGTAAAATCTGTTCATATTAAAGTTTGCAAAGGATTTATGCTCATCAGTGAATTTAAGGCTAAATAAATCCCATAAGTACAATACAAAAATTACAACGATTGTACAAATAAAAGGTAGAAACACAAAAAATAAGCATAGTTACCGGAAAAAAGAATAATAAGTAGAATTAGTAAACAAAAACCAAAAATTTAGTATATGAATAAATGGTAATCGTTAGTTATTTATGAATCGCCCTTATGAGATCAACTCTTCAATGCCTGGTGGTAATTAGATGAAAGTATATTCGTGAAAATTAGAATTTAGCTAAGTTCTGAATACCTCATACATGTCGAGGTTTGAATTCAGTTTATCAATGGTATTTATCATATTTCAAAACAGATAATGAATGTAAAAACTATAACAACCAAGTTAAATTCCAAAATATGCAAAGTTCGAAGTATACTGACGTTTAATTGATCTAATATTTGTCACCACGTAAATAACAACTTAGATCCGATCTATTGATTGTGTAGTTTTTCTACACACTTTTAATATACTATACAAGTAATCAAAGACGTTTTGATAGCTGTAAATTAACTAAAGCATCTGTTAAAAAATACATATAATACATAAAACTAAACATAAAAGACACTAATAACTGCGACAGCAGGGGACGGAAATAACTGAGAGTAGCAGCATCTTACGATAAATACCAATTTGGATAGATAAGGAAAATTAATGAAAGGGTAATACAGTGTTGATTGATTTAACCCGTATATAAGTTTGATATGTAATAGTAACATAATTAGTTTTATGCAAAAATTTAGGTTAAATAATACAACTTTTGCAGAAAATTAGTACAATAAATGGGGAATCAAAGCACAAATAGTTTACAAGAAAGATCCTGGAATCAAGAGTGACCAGAGATTACTCAAAACTCACACTTCACCAGTCTAAAATTAATACCATCTGTGTCACTTTTCCGTTATAAAGATTTTTCAATGAATCATGTCACTGGACAGACACTGAATATTTACATACCGAGTCACAAAAAACCTATTAAAAACTACTCACTTACCTAGAAGTAAGAAGTGGAGCAAAAAGGTCACGTAAATGTTCAGGGAACAAATTCCATAATTCGGAACCCCAAAAAAATGAGTTGAGTGAATTATCCGCAGGATCTTGTGTTGTTAAAGACGACGAATTGTTTGATTTTCCAACGTCTGGTACTTGAATAACTTTAACAACTCCTGAACAGCTAAAGCTGCTGAATCCTAGAAATAAAATATGTCCGACACATCATTGTGGGACAAGAAGAGATAGAAAATTTACTTTACTCATCTATAAAAATAGTAATATTTGCCAGGAAAATTCGAAAATTTACCTGTGACTAAGTAATTCGTGTTCCTGTGTCCCTAATGTACAATGAGTGAATTGTTTCATACATTAATGATTTAAACACAAATTATTGTAAATTCAAAGAATTAGTAAATTTGGGCATTTTACAACTATAGTTTTATAATATTATACATATAAGGTACTTACTAATTGTCTGGGACTAGCAGCACGTAAATATATTTTTGCTAATTCACATAAAATATGAAACGGAAAACGACGATCATTTACAAATATGACCGATTCTTTTTCGATCTGACCAGTTTTTACTTCTCCATTAGATAAATATAGCCTGATACAATAATGTAAACAAAGTGAGAAGTGCAGTTTGATGAACAATAATAAATAATTGAATAGAATTTCGGTAGATGATTTTAGTTAAATTGGTAATATAAGTAATAATTAAAACTGATATATAATTCGCCCTATTCACTTTACACATGTGAATGTCTGAGTGAATCGATAAACTGGTGTGTTAAGGTTAAAATTTTAGGAATGAGATTTACATCGATTTACGTCTACTGGTTGAAAAGACAATGCTAAACTACGGATGGTAATATCAGACAAATAATTATTGCGAACAAGAATTCGATAGTAAATTATAAAAGTTTATTTGATTTCAATTGTTAAATCGTTCAATTATCCGATAATTTCCCCTTCCTTTATTGGTCTTATAATGCTGCTAATCTTTTATACTCCAGGTGCCTATATTTAGTTAGGTTTGCAATTAAACAAATGGGCTTTGTTGACCATTACAAATACTAACTACTTACTTACACCCATTAACCCTCGTGGGGGAGCATAGGTCACCCCGACCCTCCTCCATCGAACTCCGACCAGGAAAATCCTTTCCGGCTGCTATTCTTCAATTTGTTGTCTGCTTCCAATTCTCAACGCAATGTATCCTTTAACCTTCCACATTTCTGTTTCTCTTCAAGATTCTAAGTTTACTGCTTGCCTCGTGATGCAGCAAGATGACTTCCACAATGTATATCCTATCCATCTTCAAACACGTTTCCTGATTTCCACTTCAGTTGGAGGTTGGTTTGTTCTCTTTCACAGTAGAATATTGTTATTGATATCGGGTCAACGGACATTGAGTATAATGGGTAAACAATTAAATATAAATAAAATAATATATTTGTAATATTCCGATGAGTAGAAAAATTAGATTTTCTTGCGTTTCGTTACTCAGTGTAGGACACTTCTTCAGAAGATATGTAACCACATCAAAATTAATCCAAGTTTAAATAATACAAAGGATCAAATAAATAACCTTGACCGAATGACATGACATTGACTCGGTCGAAAATGTTTCTGACTGATCACACCTAATATTCTTGCTTTGTTCCTTTGTATAATTTAAATGGGTTAATTTAATTTGATTATTTATTCCCTGAAGTGGCTTACACTGAGTCACGAAACGTAAGACAATCTAATTTTTCAACTCATTGGGATATTACAAATATATTATTTTATTCATAACGATCCACTCAATGCTCAAATTATTCGAAATTATCAAATCAAACCTTGTTGATGATTATTTATTATTTATTTATTTCAACACATAGATAATGGTACAATCAGGCACCAATACATATGCGCCACACAAATCTCATTCGATATGTGTGAGGGCTGTGATACTGCCCGGGTGCCCAGACCGAAGTAGGTGGTTTTCTTAGGGGGCCACACGCCGAGCCTTTGACCTAAAGGTCTAACCCACAAGGCAGTGAAGCATCGTAAGGAGATGCAATCCCATGGTAGCCGGTGACCAACGATTGGTTCATACGCCATTTGTTCCCGCAGGATACTGGAGCCCATGTGTCAACTGCAAAGTCCGAATCGATTATCTGCATCCAAGCTGTCCATTGTACTCCATGCTTTCCCTCAGATGTCGAGGTCTACATAATCCAGTCAACCACCAGAAGAGGAAGGGGGAGAGTAAGCAGTCTTGCCTGATTCCGGTTGTCAATTGGAATGCACATATCAGCTGTCCTTCGTGCACCACTTTGCAGTGTAGTCCATTGTATGAATTCCAGATGATGTTGACGATCTAAAGCAAAACATAGTGTCGAAGAAGTTCCCGTAAAGTTCTCCTATCCGCATTGACAATTACTTTCTCATAGTCAAGGAAGTTAATATGATCGATCCGGTTCTCTTTAGTATGATCTAGTCAGACCCATATAACTTTGTGTGCGGATTTAGGGGAAAATATTGTGCCACCTATAACCATGTTGTTGAATGCACATAAATTTGCAAATCTCTCACCACTCTCGTTTTTTTCTCCCAGTTAGTCTATGTCGTTCCACGGTAGCTTCATACCCAGTGCTGTTCATTCCGACTTTGGTGTTCAGGTCTCCCATCAGGATGGTCATCATAATCCCCTCCGTTTTTAAAGATACCTTGATGATTCTGGATCCATGGAAATCCCATCCTATAAGTGCTCTTCTTGCTTCTTTGAACATCATCAGCGCAACACAATGATTAGGCGGAAAATTTCCTCTTCGTCACCAGAGTACAATAGTATCTATCTGAATTTGATCTTTCCTGTACAGCTAGGGTCCTATGCGTTTCGCCGATTCCGAGAACCGACAAGTTGTATCTCTTCATCTCCGTAGCTATTTGATTGGTCCTTCCAGTTTCCCACATTGTCCGAAAATCTGATGTGCCTATATTGATTGTTGCTCTGGTTGTTAGAAGGATCATCGGTCTTCCGAAGAATTTGGGCTTTCATCCTGAGGCGTCATAATTGTTCCTTCAACTCGTATGGAAGAGTTTAAATGGTTTGATTTGTTTATGCCGGTTAGCGTCTTTTAAGCAAGGTTGTTTTCTACGTTATGGTGTCTCTGACCCCATCTACAACCCTCCTCCTTAACCCGGGCTTAGGGGCGGCAGTGACCCGATGTTAAGTAGTATTAACTAACCTAGTTTTATCGTCATTCTATATATTAACAATTATTAACTTCAGAAAACAAGTAATTTTTAGGCAAACATTAATGAGGTAAAAGTATTTGGAAAGTCGCTGAGAGAAGAGCTATATAGAAGTTAGATCATTTGACCATAAAAGGAAGATATTATATACCTTTCGCTTGCGTAATTATAAATACCTTACGTTAAGCACATTTGAATTTTAAGGGATCGAGGATCAAAGTCGGACGACAAATTATTCATTTTATGTTTATAACAGTTGAGCGAATACATTTAGAAGTAAATGAGATTTTGTTAGATAAACTAAATCGAATTAATACTGTATTAGAGATGCATATATACACATGTTACGACTGTAATAAATTCCATTTGTGCTTTGAAAGAATAAAACACTTAGTCGATACCGAGACTGAAAAAAATAAAAATGTTTATAGTGAAATAAATTAAATGTTCACTGGTCACAGAAGGTTCTATTAAAACTGAAAAAAACTGAGTTGATATTTCAGAGAAGATTAATGTAGGAGAAGGAAATCTAACAAATAATCCATAGTAAACAAATACAGCAGTTAGTGACTCAGTAAGGATATCTGAAGCAAAAAAGTATGAATTCACAACATACTTGCAAGGATCAACAGCCCCCAGGTTCCCAAGCCACTGTGCGTATAACAGTCTCATTTTCTCATCAGTGTCTCTAGCAAGACCCTCCAGTAATGAAGCCACAATATCAGCCAACAACATCGTATTTCCACGAAACGAAATCCCGCTTGCAGAATCCACAGAGTGTGTCGTATCTGAAGACATGCTTCGGATCTCACCTCCTTTTGCTGAAGAAATCGAACGATCAAACAAACTTGGCAAACCCCAAAGTCGAGATTGTAGAGTCTTGCCGTGTTGATCATTTGCTCCCAAATTTACTTCTGACGTCAAGGTAAGTCTTCGTACAGACCTACTAGAATGTTTTAGAGCTGATAACCATGCTGTAAGAGGCTGATGGAATTCCGCTTCTGTAGGGTCCACACCATTTATGAAACACGTTACACGCCTAGGGTAAAACAAAGTATAAGGTACGTAAAAATCCAGGTGTGTATTATATACTCGTAGGAGATCCCATATTTACATATAGCATATTGGATCTTCAAAGAAATAGTTTCCTTTATTATCATGAGGAGAATAAGTATAAAGACTTTAACAAGAATAACATGAATTAATTTTATATTGTTCGTTTAATGTCAAATGCTTATAATTTATACGAGTGCAGTTGGTTAAAAGTGAATGTGTATTATCACGGTGGAACGAATATTTCAATCAAGTTAATGAACAAAGTCCAGTTTATTACTTAATTTTAATCATTAACTTTGTTAAAATTTTCGCTCCACTGTGATAATACACATTCACTTCTAACCAACTTTACTCCTACACATTATACACATTTGACGCGAATTGAACAAAATAAAATGAATTCATGTCATCCTGATAAAATCTGTGACTTAATGAAATATACAACCAATAACTTACCATGGACATAAATCATCCAGAATTTGTTGACATGTCAGTAGAGCGGGTAGTCGAGGCAAAAAGAATAAACACGATAATCGATCTCCGATTTGTTCTCTGAAGTTTGAAATAATTTTCGGTAAAAAAAATCACATTTTCATATTTTATTAAAAACAGTAAACTAGCACATGCAAATGTTAGTACAAATAAAAATCAGTTTTTGTGACGAAGTCAATTATTTCTTGTATTGCACATAACAAATACATTATAATCTCAAACATAGTGATCTCGAGTTTAAAATTGTTTTCTTTTTCTTTATCGAACATCTGTTAACACTAAAATTGATATCAATACTTTTAATTTCTTCTTCGTTGTGAAGATCATAAAAATTTGACTAATATATAACAGGACTCTAGATTGAACATTATATATACATATCAATCGAGTATTTTTGTTCACAATTAGACTAAACGAAGTATTATTTAATCTACAGGTCACCAAATTCTTGAATGATAGTTGGAGCTGTTTTGTAAATTATTTAATGCTTAAATTCACATTTTATGGGAAACAACTTTGTATGAATTAAAATGCATAATCTGAATAAAGCCATAACAACCATCAGGGGAGAATAATATGAATTTATTTAAGCTTTAATGGTATCACTCAAATTCATAAAGGGAACTGATTGTGTACGACACATAACCTTGGAAATATTTACGGACTGATAGAGAAAGAGTAAAAAGAGCACTGGATTTTCAGACATCCTTATCTTTACAGTTGATACTGGCGACTCCAAAACTTAGTTCTATCGTGTAACACTCCGAATTCTATACTAAAATGGTAAGTATTAAAAAGTATACAAGAAATATTACATGAAAGAGTATTCGGAATAACAGAAACTCAACGCAATACAGCAATTAATAGAATGTTTATAGGGAATATTTGTTCAAATTATTGCGGTTTAAAAGATATATGAAGGAATGTAAGAAGTATTAACACGAACAACTAACGAAACACAGTGATATACAGAAGAGTTGTACCTTCTTCCATAAGATGGTATTATGTGTAAACCACGAGTTACCAACTCCGGTTACGGTAGAAATTGCAGGTCGAAGTCGAGCAAACTATTTTGAATTTGGGTACTGAATTATGTTATTTATTTAATGATGTTAGACTAGTGAGCACTACGTTTCAAACCCAAAATAATTTTCCCTATTTTCATTAGGAACTCTCCTATAAAATCTACAAATAACTTAAAATGTCTTTATGATTTCAGGTTGAAAAACTGAAATGTACTCGGTTAACTTTTCTAACCATAGATAAACTTACACGACTTACAGTTCAATGAAGCAGTATGTAACTGTAAATTAAGTCGTTAATTCAGAGAACAATAATTATAAGTATTAGTGAATTAAGCTTTCAAATTTCAAAAATATGTTCGACTAACCTTTTTTCTAGAAATAAATAATGAAATAAATCTATTACTTGATCAGGGTCACTGGAAAAGAGCCCAACAAGAGTAGCACCTAAATCAGGAAGCAATTCTTCTAATGATTCTGGTTCTAACCTAAAAAGAAAACATTTGTATAACACATTGAAGAAGCTGGTCAAGGGCTGTGGAATGGTCACAATATTGAATTAAATCTGTGAATAAGTAAGAAATTATGAAATAAATGGATAGAATTTTACTAGAATTATGGTAGGACTTACATGCGTATAAAGCTACGCCATGCTTTTACAACGACTTTTCCAAATGGTGATGTGTTATAACGCATGCATATTCTAAAGGAAGAAAAAATATTCCATAGTAATAATGATAATAATAATAATAATAGTAATAATAATAATAATAATAGAAACAATTAATCAGTATGCAATGAAAAGTTTAATTATACAATAGTTATTATCACAACACGTACTTATTCAGAAGAAACAATTTTTTCAAGAACGTTTATTTTATTTAAAACAGTTTGTCATGAGCAATATTAAAATAAGTTGTACTTACATTATCAATAAAATGCTCTGATAAGAATACGAAAAGTCAAAGGACTGGTATTACATATCTCATAATTTAGAATATGGAGGAAAATACCACCGTTAAGATGTTAATAACTTTATGACATTCATTTCACATAAACAGAATTAAGAACAATCATTTTACACAAATCCAAAGCCCGTTTGCTAGACAAACTGTCGCTTTATCAAACTACAGTATTTGAATTAAAATTAGAGTTTAACTGAGGAGGTAAATACATAAGAAAATATAGATTGTAAAGTAAAATGAATTTAAAATCATGGATTTACAGTGATTTTAACGCTGATTAAATATTGAAAGTGAACAATCACGTTTTATTGTAATTTATAAACTTTTTACCTACTAAAACGCTAATTAAACTCAACTAAAATCACAATTAAAAACGAGATTAACTAAAGAGAGTTAATGTTTATGTATAACTTACTTCAGATTAGCCAGAAATTTCGCTCGCATACGAGTAACATGATTTGAACCAAGAAGTTTTATGAACACAACTAAACTTCGTAAAGCTGACCAACGATGTTCAAGTATAACATCATCATTTAACAGCATATTATCAAAAAATGCCAATATCCCACAGACATAGTGTCCTAGAAAATCAGCCTATGGGAAATACAAAAGTTCAAAATGCAAATCAGTTATGATACCAGTTAACTGAAATATGAATTAACATATAAATCTGAACTACCTGAGTAATTATACGCGAAAAATGAATTTAACTAAGAGAGATCTCAGTATGATTTTCTTGTAACTAACTAAATTTTACTGGAATGAAGTAGTGAATCACCCTACAAACATTAACTATATTACACGAAAATTTCGAGGAGCACTAATAACGTGATTATCAACAATGACTATAAGCGGTTACATAATTGGAATATTTTAAGCGCGTCCCACGGTCATGTAGATCAAACATTAAGAGTGAGATTATAATTATCAAAACTATAGCTAATATATTAATGACACTTAAATTAAAACAGATAGCATTATCAAACATAATTTAGACAATGGATATTTGTCAAACTTTAGCTTGAATTGAATCACTAGTACACGACGAATGAAAATTTTAGTTTAACTGACCTGACTCCATGTCAAAAACCTGACTCAACAACATAAAAATCAGGCCAATGTGTTGGAGGTTTAATACTACTTGTGTGAAGTCTGAATCGTATATTACGTATGTAAATACGAATTCCGATGTACCGAGTATCTTGTTGGATGAAAAGCTGAACATTTATACATTAAAAGCACATGATCCTATGAGATAGAATCTGTTTTTTAAAACTAACTTTCATACAATAAATACCAACAATAATTTTGTGCAACAATCGTCATAACAATGATATCTAGCTATTTGAATATAAAATATGTTATGTTTACATGATAGATCATTAGAGATACACAATCACGAACAAAATGCTAAACTATAAATAGTTAAATTTACCAGAACAAAGTTCCTCCCACTAACTAGTGTACGATTAATTTGTGTCCCACAATGTGGAAGAATGATTGAAGAGATCCATCGTAGTCCCAAGCAAGCCCCAACACGATAAGGATAAAGTCGAAGGATAAACTGATGCATAAGACGGGAAATATCATTCAGACGGGCTATTCGTTCGATTGACATATTAAGATGAGCCTGAACGAAAATAATACATGTAAACAAGATTTTAACTAATAAAGGTTCCACAAGATTTCATATCTTGGTAATATCAATGAATGGTTACTAGTTTCCCTCTACATGTAGGTAGGTCTTTTGCATTAAATATTACTTTATAAGTAAAAAGCCGTCAAAACGGGGCTAAAACATTCATGTTTTGTCATATGTACATATGAAAAAACATGAATGTTTTATATGAATAAGAATTTAAACAAGATGCTAAATATCAGCTAGGTAACTTATGTGTTAGACATTTAACGAGAACTTAAAAAAAACCGAACACTGTTTAATCCATAGTCAGCTTAGAGATACAGACGCTATTATTGAATTCCACAGAAATCTAGGGTAGACAAAGAAAGTGTGTAGTTATAAGTCAACTCATGATAAGCGTTTCCCTATTTTATTTAAAACGCGAAGGATACCTCGATGGTTTAATATTGATCTCTGAATTTGTTTTTTTACCCGGTTAACAGAAACTAATCCCCACTCTTATTCAAGCAAACTTTTACCAGAAAAAGAGTAGTCGAGTTTTAGCTTAGTGGTTACAACATTCGGTCTTCAACCAGTAGGTCGCTCATACAAATCCTGTCTAATCTGGTTTATTCAGTTGATAAGTATCATTAACTATCCTAACCAAATTGTGGTTCAAGGGCGAGTATATGAACGTTTACTTGGTGAGTTAACTTTCCAACATATTATGGAGAACAAATATAAAATCTACATACAATGGACACAATAATTCATGAAACAAATAATTATGTTTACATTTGTCTCTAAAATGTAGGTTAATTCACTGAAATCTAAGTAGTAATCAAGAAAGTAACATAGGGACAAAAATGTGCTAGTTATACAAGACAAGAAAGTTTGCTTACTTCGAGAAAGGCTAAATGGACCGCTTGATCATCTTTTGACGTACGAGTGAAAATGTACACCAAAGTTTCCGGCAGAATACATAGCTGAACGATTTTACCAATATAATCCTACAGTGAAGAAAATGTAATCGAAATGAATGATTTAAACCAGAGTTTTATCCATTCGATTGAAATCTTCATAGACATTAGTTGATTAAAGATTTACACGTAAACATATAAAGACTTCCTAGTAACTCTTCTCGAATTAACTTTTACGACAAAATATCTTTAGAAAATAGTAATATATATTCGAAAAATATAACACATTTGGAGGTATGTATAAACCTATAGTGATATCTTCCAAAATATCATAACTGAAGTGATGATCACCACTTAAAAAATGGGGGCTCTTTATACATTGAATGAAGATATTAATTCATGATCAATGACTCATCTAAAAGCCGTTTAAAGGGCTCATTTAAATTATTGATAATAACAGACAGAACGATATGCATAGATTAAACGTCAATAAGGTTACTGAAATGGACGAAAACGACGTACAAATGTTCCTGACAGTATGAATGAGTTCCCATTTTTTCTTATCCACAGCTTTCAAACACTAAATTCCGACGATGTCGTGTTTCACAAAAAAACGTAACATGAAACCAAGTTTTAGTAACCTAGTTTATTAAAGCTGTACTCCTGGAGAACACAATGCTGGGCGGTAATGAAAGCAAAAATTTAGGGTTTCGCTCCTACAACGCTTTTACAAAGGTACACAGTACATGTAAATAAAAACAATGTACCCAATTAAATTTATTGAAGACGTAGTCTAATTTATTTTATTAACAATATGAATGATATGTTACTGTCTTCTTAACAGTTTGAAAATAATTACTTTTCAATGTTGAATTAACAATATATAGTTGAATTTCAAAAATTTTGTGATAATTGATAGAGAGAATGAACGACAGAATACTACAACTAGGATATATGCCAACCTTTTAAATGATATCACAAGACAGTGGTACCATACAATAAAGTTCAGTTAATCACCTATATCCAATATCGTTATATCATCCTAAAACAAACGATAAAACACAAAATACTCTAATAACTAGGCTCGGACACGTTTGATAATATGGAGAAAATGTTTTAACATACGAAACGTCTAAAAACGTACTTGTTGATTATCTAGGTAGGGTACTTCTGAAATAAGTTGTCTAATCCGTAAATGGCTCTCTTGATTCCCACGTATTACCAAGGTGATAAATAAAGCTGCGATGAGTTCCTATAAAAAGAAACCAAGATGAATGTATGGAGAACAATACAGTAGTCAACAACAAAATATGGTTAACATCAGTTCCAAATATTACTTAGAACCAGAACCATACACTTGAAATGTATCTATCTCTTCCACAGAACCAAAACTGGTAAAACGAACAAAGTATAAAGATAGGATTAAGTGCTGTGTTCAAGTAAGTAGGTAGAGAGACTAACTGAACAGCTCGACAGCAAAATAACTGGGAACATGATAGACAGAAAAAATTTGTCAACAAAACCTTACTTTGAATAAAATCTTTTTGTCAATCCGAAAAAGTCTTGAAAGGCTCTCCATTGCTTGGCATAAAGACTGGTCCATGTGTTCGACTATAATCTAAAACAAAAATTTTATTATAATAAATTGAAGGACAGAACGAAACAAAGATGTATCGTTATACGCTAAAATATAAGTTTTGGAAACCGTCGAGTTTGAAGATCTCAACAAAATAATTTGGAAATAACAAGACAATCCAATGTAAAGAACACTCATAATTGAGTGTAAATATGAAATATTAGGTTTACTTTTTAGAGAGACTTAAAGTAAAAACTATAAAAAATGATAGTATTAAATGGTCAATATTGATATTACGTGTGAATTTTCTAACAAACATTTAATCAGTCAATGTAATTCTGCACTTCTGTTGACTATTGTGATCGTGTTATACTGAGTAAACTTGGTGTTCTCAATTTAGGTATAAACTGTAAGACAAACTTTTAGTAGGAGAAAAAGGTTAAAATCTTTCCTTTTTCCCACTATTTGCTGTTTGACAGTTTTGTTATCAATATTATTAATAATTTATATACATTCATATCATTAAGTCATCTCACCTAGTATCTCTTATACTTATCACCAATACACCCTTCTCTTATTTTAAACAAAATTGTAAAAACCTGAGTCCTGTAAATTTATTTTATATTAATGTAAACTATCCACACTGTATACAATGGATACATACATCATTAACCATCTTATATTTAAAAGAATGGTGGCAGGAATAAATATGTCAAAAGAATAATAAAGTAACGCATTTTAGTTACTGTAGTACAGTTCATTCAAGAATTATAAGGTTTTATCACGCATTTAACGTTTTTTTAACAATAATATTTGCATATATATTCAAACATGATAAACACATAAAAATAATACCCAACCTGTGCTAACTGGTGATCACTAAGACGGATTACTTGAGCAGATGGTAGATGAAGTAGTAATATAAGTTCTTGAATCTGCAATTAAAATAAGTAATCAATGACTTTCTCATACAAAAGATATATAGTTGATAAACTGATACACACGAACAGTTAACTCATAAGTAGTGGTAAAGTTAAGGGCTCTTATGTTACACATACACATTACATATGCCAATCCATTTCGGGAATCCAAAATGATCAGGGATCCAACGGTGATTGCAAGAGTTCAGAAAGACATAGACTGTTGATTTGAATCAGGTGAAGAAAAAAGGTATTTCTAGAGTCCCCACAATTACAAATATTGGTGATTTGAAGCTTCAAAAGGACTGATCGGTAAGTTATCCAACTAGAAGATTTCACCTAACATCTTGAATTATAACTACTTGTCTGGAGTTTTTTTTATTTTAGATCCCTGTTTCTGTATTTTACCGTACAATAGAATCTCAAAACTAAAGATGAACTAACCAGTTAAGTAATAAGTATAATGATATCGAAAAATACACCATTGAAGGCAACATAGAATAAAGATAAAAACACAGTTTGTATGGAAAACAAATTTACAATTTCAAAGGTGATGAAAACTGGTAGACAAAAAACATGAAAGAATAAGGAAATATAATCCATCAACCTTATAATCAATCCGTGTTGATAGCTAAAACTTTTATGACAAAAAGCAAACGAATTTAGTTTGCAAAAATAGAAGATGGGAAATCACCTTTTTTTATCACAATTTACTCCTACTCCCTTCCCAAAGTGAATATTAGATTACAACCTAAACTATAACTTGTGAGTTGTATACAAGACTATTCTATATTCAGTGAAAACAGTACATTGTTAGGAGATTTAATGTAAATGAGATATAATCTGAATCGTACAATATCTAATTTTTATCCCGTAGAAATGTTAGCATTCTACAAAGAGTAACATTGATTTTATTTTTTGAGTTATATTATAATTGAAAGTATCAGACATTATATTCTCGCCAACCAACACAATAAACCTGATTTAAGATCGAATAGTATTGTTCATCTAACACAAGTATATTTTTTAGTCAGATTGATTTATGAAGACTTAGCACCTTTACATGGTGCGTTTCCATAAGCATATAGACTAATCTTCTCGTATATCGAATGAAAAGAACGTCCAAATGACGACACGTAAATATTATTAAAAGTGAATCCCTTGATATACTTCAACAGCTAAATACAATTATGAATTATACTTTTAAGAAATTGTAAAATTTAGGTAGATAAAAGATATATAGTATCATAAGTAAACTGCTGGTTTGAAAAAGAAACCTATTATCTAACCTGTGTATAAATTGTACCAAAAAGTCCATGGGAATATTGATGCACTAAACCCAATCGACATAAAATCGATAGAATAGCGACAACTAAATCAATCACTTGAGTGGATGTAACACATGATGAACCATTAATTGCAAGTGTTTCACTAGACATACGTCCACAGAAAAATTCATAGTTATTCATCTGTAATTTTTGATTAAACATAAAATCAGCATAACAACTGGCTAGACAACATCCTAAAGCACCATATATCATGATATGATATTCAACTGTTGTAGCGATAGATATATCAGTTGACTTTTCATTGGACTGATTGTTTAACAATTCCATAATAGATTTATGCATACTTATCCATGAATTTAAATTTGTTTTCGACAAATTATTTGATGTATCACTAAAAATCTTACTACATACAGCAGAGAAGTTAGAAAAGAAAGAAGAAAAACAGGACAAGAAATATAGCATTGCACCCTTTACCAACTTAATAAATCTTTTGAAACCCTAAGTTATGTAAACACTAGATTGGCATTACACTTTAAACGTTACAATGTGTTACATTTTATTTTAGAGCTTTAGAATTCAACAAATTGTTTTTCTTAAACTGGGGTCAGTATACCCAATAACTAGATGCTTTTAGGGATTCATGGAATAAAATGAAGAGAATGATCGTTTTTTCGTAACGCTCAATGTTAAACCATTACGCTTGTGATGATATCCACAAGACTGAAAATGGGTTGGAGTCAGTCAGTAGAATGTACAACCAAACACATGTGTGCACCTGTTTAGGTTGCCGAACCATATTTGCAAATCGATATGAAAATGTTAAGATAAATATCGGAGTAATACAAGTAACAACAGTTTCAGTAGCAACAGAAAAGATTATGTGTAAAATACATAATTCGGTAACAAGAAATGTATTAGTCAAATAGAAAAAATCAAAATAATTTTTGAACTCAAGATCTGGAGGAGGATAAACAGTGGACACAATTGTGCACAGTGACTGATTCAGAGCAATGTAATCCGACGTCTCTAAACACTGCTTACGATACTCCCTCGAACCCCAGCCAGGTAGTCTACACTTTATAACATGACTCAGACCAACAGTCACAGATTTAATGGATTGACCCACGGTTTTTTTGTTCGCTCCTAACTCTTCCAGCCTACTCCTACATCAGACAACATCGTTCATCGAAGTAGATGGTAGTTGGGCATAAGTGATACATATCCCAACCATCTCAGTTGATGAAGATTTACTACCTCATCAATCGATTTGCCATCATTACCAAGTACACTATTCATTCCTTAATCGGTAGTCACGAAATACAAGATTGATTCTTAGAAGATACCCATAATCGAATACTAGTTACCTTAGAATATCATATATTTTTAATGTCCATGGTTTAAACCCCGAAAAAGAATGCAATGAACGGCTGCACAGTAAAATCACCTTTTTGGATGGCTGACGGATAGCTCACCTACATCATAGGTAATGCTAAATCAGCAAAGCCGAATGGGGTTTCCAAATCTGTGCTGATTCTATCAAGATGCCACTCACCATGGTTGATCAGACTTCCAAGATAAGTGAAGTGGTTATCTACTTCACTCCCTGTTATTAGTTTCAGAGTTAACGCAGACAAATCCTGTATTTTTGCAATTAGGGAGAGTGAAGCATAACCCAAACATGATTTTATTGATATTTAAAGTGGTCATAAGCAGATGTATTGATACTTTGTTTTTGCCAAGATTATAAATCCCGAAGATTATTTCTATCCACTAAAAACTGAAATTGAAAAACCTTAAAATCCAACCTATGTATACGCATTATAAGATCCAACCTTATTACAAAGAGGGGAGTTTTTTATCTACCACTAACAAAAAGTAGTTAGTGAGTAGACAGTTCTGCTTAAGACAATCAAACTATAGGCTCAATATCTATGATATGCGTTTTATAGGAGTATTCAACTATACGGCTTCATTCTAGAACATTGGAAAGCAAAACGCTTAAAGTTGATTTAACAGTAACTACCGTGACGGATTGAACAAGTTTTAAATGTGGTTAGAAGGAGAAATTACGTAATTTGAAGTCTAGGTGACTCAAGGAATACAAGTAGATTATATCTTCGCAAAAATAATTAATTTTATTGGCTGATTAGTGGCTGAGTTTCTATTTTAACAAAAGTTATTTACAAAAGTACGTTGCTATAAAACAAAAATAATAGAAAATTTACCGGACAATGGATGGTGTAAATCCACATAAATTCTTTATGATAAGCGTAAAATAAATCCATATTTGATCAGTTGATAGGAAACTCCATTTTATGTGAGAGGCCAAATAAACAGCAAAATCATTTATCAAAGCTAAAAAATAAAAAGCAAATTAATATGGAACGTGAATAATTATTATGATTATGAACAATATTATGTTAACGGAAAAACCTTGAACTTACCATCAATAGTTTCAACCATTTTGCTTTGGTCGAACATGAAAGACAAAAATTCAATATATTCGAATAAAGATAAATTCTCCACGTTTTCTGCATTGTTTTCAATTGATGAATTTGAAAAGTCAAATCTGTTGTGTATACTATGTGTACAGTATAACGAAGGTCCAGTAGGGCAGTTATTAACGCTGCATAGAATGCTGGTTGATAAACGGCACAGTAATATTATCATTGATTTTGTCATGGATTGATCATTCTTTAATTGCCTAAAAGGTGTTTGAATAATAATTAAATTTAGTACTGAAAAAGAAGGAAATAGTTAATTATTGAATATTGGTAATTGTTATTAATGTTAATCATAGAAGGAGTGAATAATTCAAGACTAAATATGCACATCCAGAAATAATCTTAGTAATGACAATTACTTTATCAACTCACTAATCAAAGGTTTATAATTGTTACACAAGCTTCGTAAACAAACTTAGTAGGAAGGATTGATACAGAGTATGAGTCGGCCTTTAGTTTTGCTAATGTGTGTTTTCTCAATAGCTTATTTTCTAGAAAAAAATTGGATGAAATTTTTAATGTCTACTATGTTTACTTATAGTTAAACGATGCTTGATGGTGCATTTTTACAGACCAAAATATATAAGGTTAAAAGTGACAGAAACAGTATCGGTAAATGCTTACGTTTAAATGAAACTAGTGCTGTTGTACTACACGTAATCACTATACAATATTAACAAAATATTCCATTATAATAGCCAGCATTTCGGCGTTAATAGTAAATACAATTAACTAGTCTATTTGTCACTTACTCATATATTCATGTTATTTATTTGAAACTTTACAGATATATTCAAACAACACAAAGAAATGATCTATAGATATAAGAGAACGAGAGACTGAAACCAATTAAATGACTTACTTGAATAATTTGAGAAACAGACATTGCTTAACTGCTAGTTCGAAATTTCCATCCGATGAGGATTTTGACATTTTATTAAGTAGATAATGTAGCCATATAGTGATGTGATCTTTATCCAGTGTTATATAACTCATAATGTAGTCAACCAAAATGTCTGACAGCTCCTCTGCAGACATCACATTCGCAGATGAAAACCAAAATATTAACGAACATAATAATGATATTGCAGGTCCACAAATATAAATCCAATGCCTTTCATCACATTTTACTTGGGACTTAGAAAAAAAAGTAGGAATTCTTAATAAAATATAATGATGCTCAACTATTAGAAAGGTGACCATGTAAATAAAATAGGACACTTTTACAATCCCTAAAAATAAGTACTTAGCTCTAACAGAAGCAGTTAACCTACTAGCGATATACATATTCAAAATAATAAAAACGGAAATGATCAATAAGCTTTATCGCAACACTTGGACTGGATAATAACAAGGTTAAGTGAGGTCTAGTCTAGAGTAGGTATTAATAATATACATTAATGCAATCTGACCACTTTCAATTAATGTTTGTTTTAAAACATTTCAGTAATTCTTTTTCTCGTGTATTATTAAGGATGAATTCTCGAACATTAGGTTAAAAGATATCGATTAGTGTACCAAATATTGAATTTATGATTCAGAAGGGACACATCAATATATAAGTTTGTATAATTCATAAGTAAAAGTACCATTCTTGAGATGCATCTTATTTCACAATTATTTATTATTGATAGATTCAGGGATAAGTACAACAATACAGAATCTTACACAAAAGTAAATTAATTCAATATCTCACAATGTGAGAATTAATTTCAATTGTTTTGAAGATCTTAAGAAAGACGTACACACTACGTCAAAGAACAATTACTGACTTCATAAACTGTTCCTAATTCCACCTGCTTATACAAGTTGCTTTAGTAAAGATTATACTGAGTGGTTTACGAGTAACATCGGTAACGATAAATCAGTAGGTTGTACTATCAACCAACGATACGAATAAATACATAAGTGAATATCCATAACTTATAAATAAAGCAAAATTTTAATTGCTGTATTTTAGAGTTGTAGGACGGAACAGAGTAAGCTTTTATACAGCATCTCAAAAATAAAGTCAATTAAATGACGAAACTTCAAGAATAAATCCAATAAAATACAATTTATGCACGATGAATCACGGTAACAAAACACAACCCCATAGTTTCGTTAACATTTATTTCCGATATCTATTATTCCTAGCTCCGGTAAAGGAATAAAAAATGGATTTAAGAAAATGAGAATTACCTTCATATTCTTCAACCATGTGATTAACGACTGTAACACAGATGTGTCATAAAGACTGAAATCTGGAGATTAAGAAACAGAACATAAAACAATATGCTACAAAGAGAACATTGTAAATGACAATCTCGGACTGGTTGGAAATTAGTTTAAAAAACGTATCAGAAAAATTGTTAGTCTTCCCATCAATTACTACCAGTTCACAACAAATTATCTAGCTGCTGTTAACCTTCAAGGCCTCCAAGTTAAACTGATGATATGATCGAGCTACTGTGCTTTATTGACACATGTAATCACAATTAATGGTTCGAGGCTTTGAATAATATGGTCCAAAATCCTTGGTAACGACCTAGGTTAATTCACACTTCTCATTCTGAACTCTATATAAATCTTTCTTGCTTTACTATTTCATATTTCGCATCGAACTATATCTTCGATGTCTAATCTGTTTTACTACTTATAATAGTGTTACTACCTCTAATATCATGGGATTCGCTCCTGAAAACTTCGTCTTGTCGTGCTGAAGGAGTATCTGTCAGACGACATAAACCACACTAGACTTCAGGACCACAAATGAATACGACTCCGCGTATCTCGTCTCCGCAGTCACTATTCTGCCCCTCTGGCCAATCTACTAATATAAACTCAACGATAACAACTGACTTCTAATTTTATTGCAGTACAGCAACAAATATCACGAATCAATGCAGTTGTAATTTTACAGTCAGATTATTTTTCCCACATAAACTCCATGTATGTGAATTCAAATACATTAATCGCTAATCGATGCTAGTTACTCTACTGCGGCTTATAAGGACATTTTCCCGTTTCACAGTCTTTTATCCTAATATAAACGACAGGGTTACAAAGAGCCAATGGATTTCTTCTAAGTCTATTGCACTGATGGATTCTCGTCAGTCAATCAGCTACAACGTAGGACCAGGCACGTATGTGCATCGGTCCAAGCTGCCATACCTCATTAACACAACATGATGGACACTGGATTAATAAAAGTAGTTAATTCAGTGATGGTAATATATAAAAGAAAGATTGCATATAAAGACATAGTACAGAAAGAAAGAATCGGTTCGTAGAAAGAAAGATATGGAGCGATTTTAATCTCATGGTTTAAGGGAAGACAGAGTGTATACACCTACGCCATTGTGATCGATTCTGAGCCATGTCACCAAGTCTCCAACCATTGGTTCCGATAGTCAAGTAGTCTGCATCTACCAACATGGCTCAGACCAGATGTTAGTGACTTCAAGCACTGATGTAAGTTGGCGTAAGCCAAACGAGCTTTTCGAATCCGTGCTGAGATTTCGTCAGACATCAATCTACTAGGGCTCACCAGACTTACAAGTAAAGTGAAGTTGTCAACGCGTTCGACTACTTCACTCCTTATCCTTAGTTCAGGTGTTGACACAGACCAGTCCTGAAGCAACAACTTGCATTTAGAGGAGGAGAAGCGCATCCCAAACATTCTAGCATGGTTGCTCAGTGCTATCAAAAGACTCTGCATTTTATCAGCGTCTTCACCAAACAGGACTATGTCATCTGCGTATTCTAAGTCGATAAGTGGACCTCCTGGATGGAGATCAATACCCGAGAATTCAGTCGACGAGGACGTTATTTCCATCAGTAGATCTTTGATGAAGTAAAACAAAAATGCAGAAAGCGGACAGCCTTGTCGAACACCACTTGAGGTTGCAAAAGCAGATGACAGTTCGCCATAAGCTCTCACTCAACTGGTAGTGTTCGAGTGAAGAGCCTTCATAAGGTTTATGTACTTCTGAGGTACGCCTTTCACTGACAGACATCGTCACAGAAACTCTCGGTCAACAGAGTTAAATGCTGCTTTTAAGTCAAGAAAGACCACCATTGTCGGACGCCGATAGGTATGCCTGTGTTCTAGAACCTGACGAATGGTGAATATGTGGTCGATGCAGCCACGACCAGGTCTCAAGACGGCTTGGTACTCTCGTGTTTGCAGTTCACGAGTCTCAGTTAGGCGTCCGATAATTATCGAGGCTCGTATGGAAGAGTTTAAATGGTTTGATTTGTTTATGCCGGTTAGCGTCTTTTAAGCAAAGTTGTTTTCTTCGGTATGGTGTCTCTGACCCCATGTACAACCCTCCTCCTTAACCCGTGCTTAGGGGCGGCAGTAACCCTAGAACAGTTACAGGAGGAGTTATCTCAACGAGAGTAAATTAATGAAATCAAGAGCAAAAGAGAGGAAGCAACAGTACTAATGTTAATGAAGGTTTGAGGACAAATAAAATTGGTCAAAAGTGATAAATGATTTCGAAAAATGAAAAGCATGGATTTATTGAAATACAAGGGACGAATGCAATGGAACTGAATAGGAAATGATTTGTGTAAACATGTTGTCCAACTAAATGAAATAAATTCTGTGTAATAGTAAATTACTAAGAGAGCTATGAATGTAATAGTTGTACATTGATGTATCGCGATAAAGCTATTCTCAATCTAACTTACCTTGAATAGTTATAACAGCGTTGGCTAATAGACGCAGACCAAAGTAAGTAGTTACAAACTTTTTAGAGTTGATAGGTTTCGCTGTTGAACTGAAGTGAATCGATTTGGTTAGATAGTCGAATACAACATGAAATGATTGAGCTGATAATTTTTGAATTGGATCTTTTAACCTAAAAATGTAAGTAGTTTGAGAAACCAATAACCTATATAAGCAATGTTTTATTCCACAGAAGTACTTATACATATTAGCTACAGTAATTCCTAAGTTATGAAGAAACTATTCATTGGGACGTAATTTTTTAGACGTCAAAAGCTAAGAGATGACATATCTAAAAGGTGTTTTAAAGTTTATTTTAAGTTAGTTTATAGTTTCCCAAAGAGATCAATACAAAAAATACAGCGAAAAGTATTTACATCAGATTAAATCTCTAATTGCCTATTATGCTGAAAGTAAATCTTAATTCCTGGATGACAGGATCAATCTGGTTCACATAAAATAAAATTATACAATAGACGAAATCATTGAAATATCACCGGCGTTTGACTTGAATGATGTGTGTTTACTTTTTTCTTGCACTCAACTGCCAAGAAAATGATGCATAACCTACGAAAACCATACTTCCGTTTAAAATCTCTTACAGTAAAATAGTTAACACGTTTCACTGTGTCGAAAATTAGCTGTTTTATACCTAGTTCCGGACATTTTCCGTGTCTTGATTTGGCTTCTTTCGAAAATAAAACAGTAACGGTCATATTCTGCACAACAAACACTAATTTTAATGGCTATGTAAAACAGTAAACTCTTGTTGAAATAGAGAAATTATACGAAAATAGATATACCACTTTGTCTTAAATAAATATATAATCTTTGTTTAAAAGAAATTGAGATGGAAACAATGGTAAATGGTGTATTAGTGAGTAGTAACCCACTTACCCATAAGGCTTTGAAGATCTGATAAGCCACTCCAGATCCTTATGAAAACTATCCACTCTTTGATGGTTTCCTGTGTAATATCATCACAAACAGGATTTTTGACCACATGAGCTTGGAGGAACTCTTTAACATTAACGATATCGCAAGAAAAAAGAATTTTTGATATAATGGATTGATACTAAAAAGAGAAGGGAAAGAGTGTACGTGAATTATGAGCATAACGGCAAAAATGTCTTCATTAAACACCTGGTGAGTTATACAGATGAATAACATATTAGCAAACACATAAACAAAAACTTTAATCATGACTATTAAAGTATATCAGTATGGTGAACTAAGATAAAATGTATGGAGAAGTGACGTAATTATCACAATCATCTTCATTCTTAAAAAGTTATCATGGTTACTACATTATAGACAAGTTAAAATGAAAAAAATTGTTTTTATCTGCCATTTACTGGTCTATTGATATTAGCTTTTATTATCAATTTCAAAATATATTTCAGAGAACTCTTCACTTGATATGTCAATTATTAAATCGTTAACTGAAGATTGCTACTTTATATAAATTTCAACCAGGACAACACTAAACTGTATCCTTAAGAAAGGTGTGTCCTGTGGTATGTAAGACACGACCTAATAAAATGGCTACGGTGTGACCATCGTAGTTAACGAATCATTCGAGTCCGAAGAAATATGAATTTCACAAAACTTCCTTTGTGCAAAGCAAGGTCATTTGGACGAATTATATAAATCTGATAACCTAGTAATGAGTGATAATAATAATCCATTTTTGTATCGTTTGTTTAAATCTTCCTATTGATGTTTAGGACTGCAATTGATCAGTCTATTATTGGCATATGTGCATCCTGTGTAGATTGCTTCGTTATTGCCTCAAGTCACAAGCATTATAAGCAAAGATGGATAGCGACAAACAGTGGAATCTAGGACGCGTGAACTAAAACTTCACCCCACTGCACAAAGTAGTGGCCATATGAACTCAGTAGCTAAGTAGATAACGCGATGACGTCTGAAGCGAACGGTGCTGGGTTCGAGTCCCGGGGTGAAAATCAACTCTGGGATGCAGGTACTATCTATCTTTACTTATAATAATAATTATTATTACAAACACTATACATGACAGTGAATGACGCCTGTTATATCTCTCAACCAGTTTCGGATTATGAAGCATCATTTCGAACACGAGACACTGAATGAAGATTACAAAAGGGTCATTTGAATATATTCTACTGAGAAATTTTGCGTTTATCGTTATGAATAATTCACAGATATGAAAGCTTATTCTAGCTCTCTGAGTTGAGGATGGATAAAGAGAAAATATATCAAAAAATAATGGTACATTATTATTTACCTGTATACCAAACATTTCAATCGGTATAATAATCGAAAGCGGACTGAAAAGGTATTCATCATCTTCAAAGCATTTGGTTACTTCCTCATCAACATTTGAAATAAAAGGTATCATGCAGAGTAAATTCTTCCCATTAGACAAAAGATATATGGATAAGAAGTGTAAATTGAAATCTATTATTGCATATTTAAGATCCCGATGGTTGGAATTTCTGATCCAGTCACTTTTTAGGATTTGAAAACAAATCTAAAAAGGATGTATACATTAAAAAAAGGAAATATAAGATCGATGATCTTTTAGAACGTGCAAAAGGTTTGTTCAACTAATCAGCGATCCCAAACAAAGTACAGTAGTAACAGATATTATAACCATATATATTCCGCACAAAAAATTTCAAACACTAAACAATAACTGTAAATAACTTGTTACCCAGTCACTTAAACCAAACTGTGAAGTAGTAGATGGAACGGTCAAAAACAGTACTCCATGGTCGAATGTCAGACGGAGACTTTTGACCATCCAGTTTTATTCACAAGATTGTTATCACACATCTGTTCTAACTGAATTAGATGTAAGCAGTATTAGACCTATTTTCAAACCAGTAGTTTAAAGTCGAGTTAATAGACTGGTAATTTGCTTCTCTCTCTCGACATTACTCAAGGAGGCACCAAATACATATGCGCCACACAAATCTCATTTAATTTATGAGAAAACTGCGATACTGCTCGGGTGCCCAAACCAAAGTAGGTGGTTTTCTTAGGGGACCACACCCGGAGCCTTTGGCCTAAAGGTCGGATCCACAAGGCAGTGGGGCATTGTAAAGATATGCAGTCCCATGGTAGCTGGTGACCAATGACTGGTCCACACGCCATTTGTTTCTTCAGGATACTGGAGCTCATGTGCATCATTGGTTTGGAATCAGGGTTTCCCAACTCCACTAGATGAACTCTCCGTGTCCACCGACTCGGTTAAGGCGCCGGACATTCGCTTTTCGTCCTTTCAATTCCGAAAACAACACTCTCGCCACGAGAAAGCAGTGAGTGGGACTTCCCTGGCAGAGGCTACATACGCGTGACCATGTGAGAGCATTTCGAGAGGGAGAGCGGACTCTCCCCACTCTCGGCCGTACCAGGGCATTTGGGGGCTGACACTACTCAAACTGACTACACTAACAGGATCAAGTCCTCAAATATATATATGGCCACCATTAATTAGCGAGTAATCACAACTAGTACTCCTTTTCAGTTTTTTTACTGATAATGGAATTAAAAAGCATTGGACTTTGCAAATAATCAGATTAAGAAATCAATTAGTGAACCAGACAAATAGGAAAGTTTATGTGACACCGATATGACCATCTCTATTGTACCATCAGAAAAACGTTAACGTGGAAAACAATTGACAATTTTTAAGTCCTTTGTGTAAAACTATGGACTGAGAAAGATATTTTTTAGCACTATCCTAAATCCGAATGCACATGTGAGTCGAATTGCGAACGTGAAAACACCAATTCTTTTCAAACAATTGTCTATCTAAATTGCATATTTCTGAAGTAAACACGAGTTTAAACCTACTGTTATCATTAATATATTTAACGAACTTATAACCAATATTCCTAACTACTGAACTAAAACTCGTTAATTTACTAAAAGATACTTCTAAATAACTATACTTCCGAACAAAAGAACAACCAAGCATCAAAAGTAGTGGAAAAATTCGAAAGCCTTATATTACTTTACTGACAAATACTTATAAATATTACATGAAAGTAATATGGAGTAAAACGAATTATGTCGGACTTGGTGGTTTCGATTGGGAAAAAACAAATACACGATTTCGCCCGAGGCTTAAATCTTCCTCCATCCAAATTAAAAATAAGCGAATTCAGACATTTTCACTAAGTTGATTTTCCCCACTAAATTTCAGTTTAAAATTGAGAAAGGAATAATTCATACCTTGTTTATTCAATAAACGAAGCTTACAAACACATTAATATTATTTATATTAAAGTGTTATGGAGAACCTGACAAAACCAAATAGATAAAAACTTACTCTATTTAATAACTTCTGATGATTAAAGCATTCATAACTAGGTTGGTTCAGTTTAACAATACGTTGTTCAATCATACTAAGCAAACGTAGACAAAGTACAGTTGTATTTTCTAAGTTTGTGCACTCATCTATTATCAGTAAATCTGGTGGTAAGTTCACAGTTCCTTCATGCCATGAACTCAGAAAAGTGAGTACTAGACCACTAGCAGTGTAAATATAATTAAATGTCGTAGAGCTGTAAATTGGTTCATGAACTAAGTTTATTAATGCGTCGGTGCCTTGATAAATTGCATCTAAGGCTTTCTGTAGGAAAAAGAAATAAAAAATATAGTTGGAAATATGTAGCTTCTTTAACAATTCAAATGGAATTAAAAATATAGGTCAATACATTTATTAGAATGCGAAAAATGCAAGTATTATGTAACAGACATTGAAAAACCAACCTGTTTACCGTGTACATCAGTTAGTTCCACAGCAATACAGAGAATACGAAATATATGCTGGACAACAGAAGGTAAGTAAGCGTGAAAACTGGCAATTAATGAGCCCAGCGTATAACTATGAAATGAAGTTTATAAGTAATATTTTCAAATTACCTTAGAATAGACACTAGTCGGTATGCCTCCCTTAAAGCTGATAACTCAATCGGCAAACAATGAAATTTAAGCTCATTTGACTATAGAAACAATAATTATAACACGAAAAAAGATAACTTATTACTTTACTATCTTCAGGAGGAACAATGGTGCTTTGTTTAGTAGGCGCCCTCAGTATCCAATTGAAATCACCAGAACCTCTTTGATCAAAAAGTTCCATTGTGTTCAATAAATCTACGGAAAAATAACAAGTCAAAAAAACTAACAGAAATAAACTGATTTATTGTGAATATATTGCCTTTAAGGTACATACATTTTTCATCTTTAATTGTGAAACTCTAGTAAATAATTCATAAATGACACTCGCTCATTCGATAAGTATATATGGTAATAATATGACATAAAAATAATTAGGTTTGACCTCAGGAGTTGTATATGATGGGTAAAAATTTAACATCAAATTACTACATGTATATTATAAAAATATTAGTATGACTCACATCCACAGACGGCAGGAATTTGTTTTTTTGGCTTACTTTAAAACGAAACTAGATAAATGGTCAACAAGATCAAGAGCGAATCACACAACTTCGTTGAAAAATACACTCCTGAATTTTAGCTCAATACAAATAAAGCTACTGGACAGTGTCTAAAATAATCTGTCCAATTTCGGTAAATAAAAACGCAGAACAGGAAATTGAACCTAATGATAAAACAGAGATCTAAGTTCACCGAACAAACTCATGGATGGGGTTAAATATATGGCTAGACATTAACACCAGTGGGTTTTTCAAATGTTGAATGGATACTCACCATTGGGAATCTGAAGGCGCCAACACTACATTATGCATTGTCCAATGTTTAGAGCCTCTTACTCTGTGACTCAACGGTAAAACGCTCATTACAGAATCAATCCTTACAGTTCAATCCCTAAGCCATATCATCTTGTGCACTACTAACAAGATCCAAGCAACAAGGAAACAACCATATACAATCGTCAGGTCTCAGTTATATTAAAATTAGCATCGGTGTGATAAGTATCGCAAATAAATCCAAATAGCGGTCAGAATTATATGGAAGTTACCGTTACTTAAAATTTTGTCTGTAGTGACTCACAATGATTGCAAAATACTGATGATTATTGTGGGAAAAAACTATCAAAAGTGATAAGGTAACTTTTTTGTACAGGTATCAACTCTTGATATGAACTCATGTGACACGTAAATTCTATCTGTTTTCAAACTATGAAACTTGGTTTCATTCATCGGCTTCCATTAGTTTTAAAGCAATTCATTAAATTGTGATGCTCTCTTATCAATGTTCTGAATATTGTCAACGTACTAACATGTAGTACCCTGCAATATCATGTTCAATAAATGTTAAAATGTTATATTTAAAAATGTACGGATTAAACAACGACAGTAGTGAGAACATAGTTGTCAAAGGAACAACTATTATTTATAACGAATTAAATTTATCTAGATGAAAGGTAGAAATTTAAATAGTTAACCCTATTATGTAAACATGCGCGTACATATTGTGCACATATGCTAACTCTAAAGATATTTACCGTTAAAAACAGATACTAAATGTACAGCCTTCTTGAGATATATATTCAAATGATGCCTTTCAAGAAATAACATGAGTGACCTAATCAGATCTCCAACAACCTGCAGGTGGTATGTGAATTGTGGACGACAAGCGATCACGACTAAACGATAGATACACCATGTGGAGAAATCTGTTGAAAATACATAAGAAAAAGATAGTGCTGATTACAGATTCAGGTTATTAAACAACAGTATGCGAATTGCTTCTAGTCTTGACTCACTATGCTAGACCGTTAAGTCACATCGCGTGAAAAAGTTCGCTAGTCAAAAAATAGCAAATGTAAGTACTTGAGGGGAAAAATGAGAATTTTCACTTTCTTATAATATTTCAGTTACCATAAGGCACACACCGGATGAAATTTTGTCTCACCACACTTCTGCTCTTTCCGCTAACTTCTTCAGATTGGAGACAATAGTGGTTTACGTTGATGTGTTTTGTAGGCATTATGACAGGGAATGTACCTGAGGTTAATGTGGTTTTGAATACAACTTGATTGATATGAATATACATAAAATGCTGATTGTAGGAAGCAATTTCCTACAGGTGTAACTCGAAGCTATTCTCTAGACCGTCGAACACAGAGTCTTGGTTTAGCCAAAGTCAGAACAAGTAAGCTATTTGGCTTGATAACCTTTACCTGTTTCGAACAGTAGCTAGAGGATAGGAAAAACGGGTCAACAAGGCAAATATTGTTTTATAATGAACATAAAATTGTGATTGGTGAATAAACAAGACATAGTCATACAAGGTCAAAGAAAGTTAATGTGGTGGTGGGCGTTTCACTTTATCACCGATGTGTTCGTTTATCGATCACACCTTACACTGATGATGGTGTGAAGTTCGACATTCGAGTATTAGTTCAATTGTGAATTAAGATAAAGGAGGAAAAGTATAAAATGCTTTATTGAACCAGTCGAATTATGAGACATAGATACCGATGAAATAAAATATACATAATTACTAGTAACCGTTCAGTGCAAATGAATGTTTATATAACCGTATAACAGTTAGCATCTTATGAGAACACTAATGCTTTGTGTTCTGTGACATGAAAAAGATATTCATTAAAGTGACTAATAGCCGAGACATATATGATAAGTAACGTGTCAACTATCAAACTGATATCAGACGGCGAATACATAGATCAAGTTTTTCTTTACATGACACCGAGTATTTGAGGTTAAAACTGCGCAAAGATATGACTGACAAGCAACTAAGGATTAACGATATTATTTAGGCTGTAGAAAAAGCATCTAAATTTACGGATATTTTATTATATTAAGACGTTTTTATTTCGTTAACTGTGACATTCAGGTGACCTGGGTAAACAGAAACATCAAGTCATATATGAATCGACTAGGTATCGTATGATATGTCTAGTTTGAGAGAATATCCGTTTCTCGATTTGGTGCTTAGCTAGAAGCACACGTCAAAAGACCGTTCAATATCTGAGTAAATTTTAAACGAATAAAATTAACAGAACTTACCATCCATAAGAAAAGATGTCAAGGCTTGTGAGAGTTGGTAATGACTATACTTAAATGTACTTTCAACTCGGGAGAGAAGGGGTAATAGACCTGTAACCTGACATTCTCCTAAGTGATCTACACTTCCAGCTATTTCATCTAAAATGCAGTAGATGAATTTTACAGTATCCTGAGGATCGAAGCTGGAAGACAAAAATGGAAATGTAAAGCTAAACAGGTAGTAGAGAGATATACTAGAAATCAAGTATTTAAGATGTTTGAAATTTCTTATAAAATGATATTAGAGGAACTGTTGGATTTACGTTTTCATAATATACCGATCAACATAAAATATGGAAGCGCTTAATTAGAAAAAATTAAGATTATCAAGCAATATGAAAATAAATTATTAACTGATTTGTTAGAAAGTCCTCCAGATCCGAGGCCCTTCAGCCAAAGATTAGTGGCAATCATCAGACTGTATGACTTAATAGTAGAATAAAGCGAATTTACTGCTGGCTAAAATTAATTTTGTAACGTTATGACAGAAACAGTTGAAACGACGTAATGAAATTTACACAAAAAACTACAGGGTTCACAGTAATCCTCAAACTCTCTCTTATGGAAGGTGCTTCGCGTTAATAAGATACACCTATTAACTGAGAAACAACATCTTACTGAGTGAAGATAATTTTCATTCTAAACTCAAAATAACAAACAAAAGAAACATATGGTATGTACATATGTTATTAGTAGATTCAGGTTACTAAAAGTGAACCATGAACGTCAAAATATAATGTTGAACGGATTATTAAGTTTACACGAGCACTAGACGATTTATAAGAGTGTGGTAACGGCATAGTGGTTATGAAGTCTGAGATTCAGTCACTAGGTAGCAAGTTCGAGACCCACTCTACTCAATTCAGTTTTAGTAACTGGGCAGTATCACTAGCCTGAACACATAAATTGGCACCCAAAGTCGAGTACACGAATCTATGCTTGGTAAATAAACAACAGCATCATAAATAGACAGGCGGTCACTTGCAATTTATTTTAGGTGATTTTAAGTAAATTTCCTTGGGGGGAAACCTCGGTACGAAAGAATACAGCAGAATAGTCAATAAGCGTAAAAGCCAACTTAATAGACAAATAAAAAAAAACAACAATTAAGATGTCCATAGTAGGTTTTTTGATTAAATCCACTGAATACTAGTTTAAGTCTACCCGATCGATAAATCTATATTTTCCAATCGAAATTTTACTAATATTTATACTTTAGTTATTTTCGGTATTTAGTTCTGGACGCATTTGTAACCAGTACTAAAAAATAGAATTTTCAAGGTGAGAGAAATCATCTATATCATACAGAATTTAATTTTATTACGGAAATTGACTGAATATTTCTTATGGATCCATAAGTCTGGTTTGTTGAAATGGCTTCCGTGGTACCTAAAAGTCATGTGTAAACTAAGTGAAAAACTGGTCGAATATGATGAATTATTCGGAATGCCTTATTTATGTCCTGTATCGGCTAAATGAGAGAGTGAAAAGTCCTTGATCAACCTTAATGATCCTTTTCCCAACTAGGAAGGATGGTGTTCGGGAATCGGATGACAGACTTGCCGATTTGAGCGCCTAACATAACTAGCTCTATAAAAGAAGTTGAATGAGTAACTACATACAGGTGAGGTGAGCTCGGAAAATCTGCCTATAATGAAGATGAGGTGTCAACTGAATCACTACAATGGGCCATTTTAAATTTCATCAGAAAATTCTCCGTGTATCACTGTCGCTGCATCGCCTTAAAGCAATTCTGACCGAAAACGATAGCAAGAAGAATAAGCAAAACCATTTAGACAATATCTTTATTAGGGACGCAAGTGCACCAAGCTTACAAGTCAAAGCACACGAAACACATTTTAGCGACTAACCTTTCACTGTTTTTCATTGGAATCTTTTGTTACAACCTGAAAATAATAAGTTGTTTGTGAGTAAAAAAGCAAAACGTTCGGGAAAAACGCAATAAACCACTAAAATAAGTCGCCTGTTATAAATGATTCGCTATTTGGTCAAATGCCTTGAGAACTAATAGATAATAGCCTGGCCAATCGCAAGTTTTGCAGTATTCGGTCTACAATTATTTACATATGTATTATGTTGAGCTTGATTAATGCATTTCATATGGAAAGTTATTGTGTAATGATGCGTTATGCATGATTTGGGGATTTTCCCCAAAATTTCCCCAAAGTTAGGAGCTTGGGATTACATAGTCTAAACACAAAGATAAGCGTTTATGCTTAGAAGGCGTTTGTTCGAACTGTATTTATGAAATATAAATATTTGCTTTCATCACATGTCAATTCTGAACCCGAGAAAATGTGGGGATTTCGTATTAGCGAGTCACAGAATTTTCACAACGCGTGTGAAAATTTCGGGAAAACTCCTAAACCAAGAGAACTTTGAGTTAATTCCGAGTAAAAATATTTGGACCATGGAAGATTTCGAGATTCCTGTTGTGTTTCCCTAAAATTTATCCCAAGATTGATTTTTTTAAAGTTGGGAGCTTATGATTGTACAAAGTGGTTTTCGGAGCTGTAATAAAACATAGCCAGTGGCCCAAACTCTTTTTGTCAATAATAAACAGGTTGTATAGACTTGACAACATGAGCTTACTTCTAGCGATGTTAACTACCAAAACCCTAACCACGCGCCTCGGCTAGACGCTTGAATAAATGCTTTAGAGTAACACATCCAATGCAAATTCTGACTTCTACAATTTCGCATCAGCAATTAAAATTTGGTACTTATTTATGATTTCTCTAGTCACTTTATGTGTATTTGGCCTTCTGCTGTCTTAGTTTAAGTTTCAGTTTGTCCTTGAGGTCCAAACACATACTGACTCAGCATGTGACGAGACTAGCCAAGAAGGACGGTGACCCCAGACCCCGTCTAATGAAGATAACCTTCCCATCTTCCCACATGGCGGCTGCAGTTCTGGAAGCATTTCGTGCTAATAGACGTCGATTGCCACCTGGAATCCACATGCACCCGGATAGGCCATACGAAGCTAGGACCAAGAACAAAGGCAAGTTGGAGTTGACCATTCCACTTGTGGACTGTCTAAACGATAAAAAAACGTGTAAAGGACAGGGCCTACCACCTCGGCAAACCTCATATAGGTGGGCTACCTGTCCATTCACATAAGGTTCATACAGAAAAACAGGACGAAGCTCACGCGTTCCAAATTGAAAGCATAAACTGCTTATATATGAACGCCGCGAGTCTACCAAACAAACTGGATGAACTACGTGAACTTAGCAACGCTAATAAGGCCCATCTGATAGGAATATCTGAAACCTGGATATCTTCTCAGTTCTCGGACCAAGAGTTAGCATTACCTGGGATGACTTTGTTCCGCAACGACAGAAAAACAGGAATTGGGGGCGGAGTAGCCATATACATAAGCTCTTGCTTGGAGGTGCACCAAGTTCACAACCTCGAGTTTAACAATCTTGAGGAATCCATATGGTGCTCTGTAAGATTGTCTAGTACTTCGAGGTGTCTAGTCGGAGTCATTTACAGGAAGCCAACTGCCGACATCGAGTACGATAGTCGTATGCTGGAAGGACTATCCCGCTCTATCCGTCTCGGTTTCACACACATCCTGATTCTAGGGGACTTTAATCTCCCTAGAGTCAACTTCGCGGAACACACGTACACTGGAGGCGACAACTCAATTGAAGCTCGGTTCTACAACCTCATCGATGACTTGGGCTTATATGAAAATGTGAGGTCGGCAACTCGTTGGAGAAACAGTCAGACACCATCGCGCTTAGACTGTGTATTCACTAACGAAGAATTCCTAGTCGACAACCTCTCAATCCTGGCTCCTCTGGGAAAGAGCGATCATGCCGTCATAGCCTTCAGTTTTGTCATCAAAACTAAGCTAAGGTATCCCAACAATAATTTGCGTTGGAATTTTAAACGGCTGAATGTCCCAGCTCTACATGACTATCTACAACAGGTGGCTTGGGATGTTCACCCTCAACTCGATGTGGATGGTCATTGGGACTTCTTACTGCACACGCTCTTATGTGCTACAGACCATTCAGTTCCTCAAACGGTTCCCAAAAGCTGCAAGCCACCTACAGTAATCAAGAACCGTACCCTTCGCCTGCTAAGCCGCAAAAGGCACTGTTGGGCGGAATACAAACGAACTAATAACGATGGAGCGTATAGGCAATATAAACATATCAGGAACATATGCACGAAGGCTATAAGAGAAGACAGGCTTCAGTACCAAACAAAGCTTATGGACAAATTCGCCTCTAACCCTAGAAGCTTATTCCGTTATGCAGCCTCTCTTCGTCAAGCCAAAACAGGAGTTTCTCAACTGGTAGGTCTTAACGGCCCGACCAACAACGATGGCGACGCCGCTAACCTTCTGGCGGCACATTACTCTCAAACATTTCAACCGGCTGACATCAACTTTACTGACGACAGTTTCATCTGCAATTCCACAGGACTTTCTGAAGTGGACCTAAGCGCTGACTTGGTGTTCCGGAAATTGCAGCACTTAAGATTTGACACTTCTCCTGGCCCGGATATGGTTCATCCTGCCATACTGAGGGAGGCAGCCTCAATCCTGGCAACGCCGCTTAGCGTGATGTTTTCACACTCGCTTAGCCGAGGCAAATTACCGGAAAATTGGAAGTTGGCTCACATCACACCAATTTTCAAAGGTGGTCGACGCAATGAACCTTCAAGTTATCGGCCGGTGGCTCTTCTGTCATTACCTTCAAAACTCATGGAGTCCCTGATATGCGACGGTTTAAATGACTATCTACTGTCCTTAAATTTCTTCTCACCCCAACAGCATGGTTTCAGGAAGGGTTACTCTTGTATAACCAACCTGCTGACTGCGGTGGACAGATGGACAAGCATCCTCGATTGCAAGGGAAAGGTTGATGTCATTTACCTTGATTTCTCAAAAGCTTTTGATAAGGTTAACCACTTGTGTCTTATCAACAAGCTCAAACGACTAGGTATCAAACCACCCCTAATCGATTGGCTTACTTCATACCTAAAAAATCGACACTTTAAGGTTAGGGTTAATTTCACTTTATCTCAGGCTATGGAATGTCCTAGTGGGGTCCCCCAGGGCTCAGTACTAGGGCCTCTTCTCTTCTTGATCTACATAAATGATCTTCCTCAACAGGTAACGTCAGATTTATTACTTTTTGCCGACGACGTGAAACTTTGGAGAGAGATACGCAACCAAGACGATACACAGGCACTTCAGGAGGATCTGACTCGACTTCAAAGTTGGGCAGACGATAACGGACTTACCTTTAACACTTCAAAGTGTAAAGTAGTCCATCTGCGACATGTTGCAAACTACAGTTACAACTTAGGAAACTCCTCTCTAGTAGTATCCCAAGTCGAAAAAGATTTAGGAGTCCTGGTGCCCCATGATTTGAAGTCTTACGCCAACTGTGACAAAAATGCCTTCCGAGCAAACCTTGCACTGGTAACGTTGAGGCGCATTTTTGGCCAGTTTGACGGAAGAACTTTCCACACAATCTTCAATAGTTTCATCCGTCCCCATTTAGAGTACGGAAACATAGTACTCCCCCCTCACTCCAAAAGGACAAGGTCACTTTGGAGCGTATCCAACGGCGAGCCACGAAATCAGTTCGAGGACTCAAATCTAAGCCTTACGAAGAACGCCTCCGTTCACTAGACCTTTACCCATTAGAATATAGGCGTCTTAGAGGTGATTTATTAATGGCTTATAGTATTCTTAACACTTCTGGACATCCTCTTAAACACCTACTTAAGCTTAGTTCGAATAATAACCTAAGGGGTAACACCCAGAAACTGGAAACACAACATAGCAAGACGGAATGTAGACACAATTTCTACTCCTTAAGAGTTGTCAAAAGCTGGAATTCGCTGCCAGCCGAGCTAGTCCAAGCGACTTCTCAGGAGTCCTTCAAGAGGCAACTTGACCTATTCTTAAGGACCAAGAACAGCATCACATTATGATTTACCAATCTCTTTTCCTCTTTTATTGTTAACATACCTAGGTTCCTGCCTGGAGGATTTGGTGATCCCCTGCTACTAGACACGGAAGCCTGTTAAGCGAAAGCTTCTTCTATTCCGTCCACAACCATTTGAACCATTTGAGGACAGAAAGCTGGGTAGTCTCCATTAGTCCTGGTACTTGTGGTTTTTTATTCACCCATATTTCTTTTTAATGCGTAAATATGTGGAGCTTCAATCCCTTGTTGAGATAATCAGTTTTATTCGTTAGTTATTAATTGTGAGAAAGTCAATAGTCGGCTGAAAAGCAAATTGTTCCGGGCTTGTGAACTTTTTTGGAGTGTTCTCGTTAATTCTTTATTTTGAAAGAAAACGGTAAGGGGATGCTTGGTGTAAATTTACCGTTAAGTATTTGAAAAACAATGATCAAGTTCGTTCTGGTTCTTCTATATGACAACAGATTCGAGTTTAATTTAGCCAGCCGATCATCATACGGTAATTCTGAGCATCAACTTAGTTGTAGTTCTTTGGACCTTTTCCGATAGCTCACTGTCTCTTTTTAGGCATATACTTGCTCTTAGCACAAAACTCAGGTTTAGAACGAACACTACACAAAATAAAAGTTATGTAAAAGCGAAGTAAAAACAAGTACCTTACCTACAGCTGTACAAACAAGTAATAGAAAAATAGCCGAGGACCGATCAATAATGTATGACGCTTAATGGAGGTAGCGCCAGGGAAAACTCGGTAAAGTGTTGTCCGTGTTATACTTCGTCACCTAGCTTATTCTTTAGCGATTGCCGATGCCTACTACTGCAGAGACTGTCACCATGGTGGTGATCCTTGTCCTCATTTGTTGCTGTGTAACGGATATTAATAATGCCTTTATTCAGTAATGCACATATGTTTAGTATAATTTTAAATCCTCAGAATACGATATTTTAATAGATTTTTCACTCCTACACTGAAAATATCAGCAGATTACTACACAAGGATATACTTTTGTGGAGATATGACTGACAAGCTTATTTTGTAAATAGTTTTTAATATTATTTGTATTTGTTTTGTCAATTTTTCACTTTATGTACATTCAGCATTAAATGACTGTACGTGTTGTTTTAGTCAATGACCTTGAAGACTTTTTCCGTTGTGATTGTAACATAGCGTGACACACTTTTGGTTTGTTCGCAAATACATTACTACTCACGCATCCCTCGTTCTATTTACGTTTGTGATTGAGTTAGCTGAAGTCTAAATCAAATATTATCATTGTTTATAGACTGTAATTGGAATATATCACATTCTACGTGGGATTATATCACTAGAGAGTTCACCAACCTGCTCAGAATCATCAAGCATTTATAATTGTGGATTTACATTACCGGACCTAATCAGAACACGCAACGTTTGGTCAATTTAAGTAACGTCCCTAATTTTTATTGTATTTGTAACAATTAACTGTATATATTAATATTACTATTGATCCTTAGTAACTTTGTTTATACTTTTCGCGTTCATATCTGTCAGGTCCACCACAATTATTTGGTGAGCCTCGATTTTTTTATAGACATCTATTATATATATCTACATATTTTTTTATTATTATTTGACACGACACATCATTTTTGTTTTTGACATTATGAACTCTCCTAATAAACTTATCGATATAGATAGC